TCTGATGTACAAAGATAATCTCTTACAACGGAATAAAGTTAACCTGAGACAATAATAGGAATATGCAAATTAATACCATTAATATAAAAATGATAGAGATCCAATTTTATAGAGGAGGTGATAAAACTAATAACCATGTACTCTAAATAGGTAAGCTGGTTTACTGCCTCATCAATCATATCAGTAGATGCAGCAAAATCTGCAACATTCATTTATACTCCTCTTGTTCCAGAAAGGATTTAATATATAATAATGGAAACCAAAAAGCAAAAAGAGATGCTTAGACCTTTACTATGGGCCATTCTTTCCTAGATCACACTACTCTACAATATTATTTCAACAGCAGTAAGAGTTCTGTGGTACAGGCGTTTTTGCCGTGATGGTGCTAAGATAGTATTTTCTTTAAAAAAAAAAACTGAAACCAACCTGTCTAACAATGGAAATAGTTACTGAATATGACAAATTAAATGACAGATCATTATGCTGTCATTAAAATTATAACGATGTAGACTATTCTAGCACTTCTCTGATATTTCAGATTTTTTAAATTGACAAATAATAATTATACATATACATGGGTTACAATGTGATATTCTGATACATGTAAATATTGTAAAATGACCAAACCATGGGCATATTCATCCCCTCAAAAATATTTATCATTTCTTTCTGATAAGAACATTCAAAATCTTCCCTTCTTGTCATCTCTAATTATACAACTTTTAAAACTAGTCAACCTACCGCGCTGCAGATTACAAGAACATACTCTCTCTATCTAACTGTAATTTTGCAACAATTGACCAATCTCTCCACACCCCATCCAACTGCCCCAAACTCCCCAGCTTCCGATGGCATGTCACTTCCTAGTACCATTAAAGCCACGGTGGTATTTCATGATGGCCATATTCTACTCTACGTATCTGTATAAGATCAGCTTTTTTAGATTCCACAAATGAGGGCAATCACGCAGTGTTTGTCCTTCTCTACCTAGCTACTTCATAACCTATGTTCTGAACAAGAATTCATATGCAAATAGCATGATTCCAGTGTACAAAGTGTGCTGTTATGTAAAGATGCATTTCAATTATACAACAACATTTTTGGAAAAATGATGTAAGCGCATTATTAACACATCTACTGAAGTAGTTTAAAGCAATTTTATAGAGAAAACATTGTATTCATGTAAATAGCACTGTATTGCTAGAAATGAGGAAGAAAACATTCTAGACATTAGTAATGTATTACAAACTCTGCTGGAAACAAACTTGTATTATTCAAAAAGAAATGTATGGGCCCGGGGATAGAGCTCAGCAGGCACAAGCACCTGCCTGGCAAGTGCAAGGTCCTGAGTTCGATTCCTGGTACCAAAAAAAGAAAGAAAGAAATGCATGGAGATCACTGAATGCTGGACAAAACCAGAAATACACGCTATAAAACACTGACTGGAACAAGAAACCGATGTCCTACCTCAGTACTACACAAGCTGTGTTTAAGTTTCAGCGATTTATTTTTTCTTTTGGTATAGGGAATTGAACTTGCCAGGCAGGCGCTGTGCTGCTGAGCTATATCCCTGGTCCATCAATGATTATTGAGAACTAAAAGTTACAGTATAAATTAAATTTGAGTAACACTCTTTTAAACGAGTACCATCATCCTTCCATGTCTGTGAGGGGCTGGTTGCAGGATTCCCTGCAGATACTGAAATCTACAGATGCTCAAATCCCTTGTGTCAAATGGTGTAGAATACATCTGTGGTCCGGGATATTTCACATCACCTCCCGAGGCGGGAAACCCTAACATGACATAAATGCTATGCAAACAGCTATTTTATACTACCGTTTACGGAATAGTAATAAGAAACAAAGTCTCTACATGTTCAGTACAGACAGTTTTTTCTCTCTTTATATTTTCAATGAGAGCTTGCATGAATCCACGGATGCAGAACCTACTGATATGGAGGATCTACCATATATATACATAAAGGAAATACGTACATAAAAACAGGCAAAAAAACACAGCAAAATATAATAAATACAAATTCTTACGCAGGTAGCCATAGTAACAGTTCAGTTATACCTAATGGAAAACACAAAATAACATATTGGAAAGGCTTCTCCTCATGTTTACCAAAAAACAAATGCTTTATGGAACATTTAATAAAGCAAAAAAGGAAAAAAAAAAAGAACAACTAAAAAGCATTATGAAGACTTTTGTCTTTGCACTAAAGAGGTTAGCACATGATCGTGCTCAGAGTTAAGTAAATTATCAGTCCCAAAGCTAAAAAACCTGACATCACGGCTGGAATGGAGATGACTCGTTACTGTGTTAGGAACTGAGTCACTGCTCTCTGCAGACGATACGTTATCCCCAGACTCACCAAGGACACTGCCGATTGCACACTTCTATAGAGATTTCAGCACTACCTTTTGTTGTGCAGTGTTCCTTGGAGCTTTACTTCACCTACACATTTGTGAAGTACCGGAGCACCACTCCAAAACCTTCAGCTCCTGCACAACTGCACTCGGCCTCCTCACTGACTCTTTAAAGAGCAGATCTGCTGCCTGGGTTTCTCCAAGGCCTGACTTTCTCAGATGTGGTGCTCCAGGATAGCGGCCATGGTGGTATTTCATGATGGCCATAAAATGAAGCTTTTAAAGTGAGACCATATCTCTGCTGCTTTTCACTCACTGATTATTGCAGTAAGACATTTCAAGATGAAAACAAAGCCTCATCTGAATGCCTGTGTGAGCTATGCTCGCTACTTCTGGTGGAAGACTGTGGCTCTCCAGGTATGGAGATGGTTTCTAGTCTGTGACAACTGTGCTTTGCTGCTGGGAAGTGCGTTTGGTATTCTCTGGTGGTCAGCGTCAGTTAAACACAAATGATCTTTGTCCTTTGTCTCTGGCAATGAGTGATGTTTACTGCATTCCTGTTTCCTGCTGTAGTAATTTAAAATTTTTGAAACAATCTCAAAGTCATAGGAAAAAGTAAATAATGATTTTTCTGAACAATCTGAAAGTAAGATGCTAACAAGCTACGTTCCACACTAGCTGGGTGTGGTGACGCACACCTGTAATCCAAGCTACTCATGAAGTTGAGGCAGGAGGATTGCAAGGTGAAGCTCAGTTGGGCAACTCAGTAAAACTGTGTTTCAAAATAAAACAATAAAAAAGGATGGGAAGGTAGCTAGGTGGTAGAGCGTATGCCTAGCAAGTATGAGGCTCTGGGTTCAATTTCCAGGACTGAAATCAACAATAAAAAGGCTGGAAATGTGCATGCCTACAATCCTAGCTACACAGGAAGCTAAGGCAGAGGGATTACAAGTTCAAGGTCAGCGTAGGCAACTTAGCAAGACTGTCTTAAAATTAAAGAGGGGGTGCAGGGGATGTAGCTCAGTGCAGGTTCAATCCCCAGTACCACAGACACACACACACAAAGCACCATCACCCTCAGAATATTTGCAGTTCTTCCTATGAGGATACCTTCTCACATACCACAACACGTAAGGCTAAGTTCCTGTTAGCCTCTGGCAGTTAATACACAACTGTTTGATATGTGCTTCTGTTCCAAGACTCCTTTTTTTATATACTGTATATTGTTGACTTACCCACATACAACTTGGGCCCAACAGTCCTGTAGCTCAGGCCTGGCCGAAGCTCACCTAGCCCTTGTTATCTTCTCCATTAGCAACATCGCAGCCTTCCTGTGCTTAGGAATCTGGAACAGCACCTCAGCTCTACATTTGGGGCCAGTTTAGAGTCAATCCCTAACCAACTGCACAAAAGTTACTAAAATGCAGCATGAGGTAGGCTGCAGAAAGGGCTTGTTATGGTGTGAGGGCTGGGAAAAGCAGGCAGAGGGCATCTTGCTTGACCGTAGCTGAGAAGGTGTGCACTGAAGAACTCAGATTTTTCACCGCTCTTCATGTCTGAACGATTTGTGGCAGAAGTACTGATTTTGAGTCTGGATACATTTAATCAATTAGGCAGATTTGTAAACACTGAACCTGCCCATCACAAAGACTGCTATGTTTTTGAATCATGTTACGCTGTATTGATCTAATTATATCTATCAATATGAACTCATGGGTTCCTATGTTTTTCAGTCGGGCATAATGTTATACTGATTTATTTTGATGCTCAAATTGCCCCAGGTTTGGCCAACAAGGGCAGCTGGTTTCCTCCTTCTCTTCTGAACACTTCCTCGCTTTTTGACATAAGAGGCTCCAAGCCGGCAATCAGTCATTTGTCCAAGGGGCTCTGGTTCCTTTTAGTGAAGGCAGCATTTAGCAACCAAGATCAGAATATAGCACCAGGTGTGCTCAGTGCTAGAAAATACTACTCTCCACACACACATCAGATTCACGGTTACTTGTTTTGGTTACACTTAGTTATGTATTTAACTGCATGTTGAAAACACTAGTGTCTTCTAAGACACCAGACATTCACTTTAATTCTTTCCTTTTTCACATCTCTAATTGCTTTCTTAGACTAAAACTCCTAGCCTGCACTGTCTTTGACATATCTACTGGTGAGAGCAACCCCTGTAAGTGACCAATCTTGCTGCTGTCCCCTCCTCGCTGCCCTCCTCCCCCTCCACATCTGCTCTGCTCTGACATCTGCATGGATCAACTCTGCAGGAATGAACGCCCTGTGCATACACTGCTGGATCTCTTCTCATTCTCTTTACTGGATCTAGACTGTAGTAGCTCTGCCAGAGGAAATCCTGATGCAGGTCACAAGCTCCTGAGAAGCAGAATTCATGCATGCTTGCCATCAAGCCTCCAAATCCAGGATCATGAACAAATATGCTGCTGGCAAAGTGGCTTGGACATGCTGTCCTTTGGTTTCCATCCCTCTCTATGGACAGGTAGCATTCCAGATATTCCATGTTTAATGAAACAATTCAAAACTCTCAATTCAATGAAATCAGACCATTCCCATTAGAACTGTAAACAGACTAGTCCCCAGTGATTTGGGGAATATAAGATGATACACTACCTCTGCACTCGGTACACTCGAGTCCATGGAGGCACAAGGGCTAGGATCCGAGCCACTAGTTCGATCAGGTCACTAGGAGAGTAACTCTTATATCGTCCTGATTTCCAAAGCTCGTACAGCCCAGTACCGCGAATCACCAGGGTGGGGTAGAGTTTCATACCATCAGGACGAAAAGCGGGGTTCTCAAAAAACTCCTGTGAGTAAAGAACAGAAAGTTACTTCTCTGTTAGTTAGGCAGGGATTACCCATTGTCTTGGTTCCTTTTCTCTTGTTGCTGAGACAAAATACCTGACCCCCAAAATTAAGGAAGGAAAGGTTTATTTAGCTCACAGTCTATGGAGGCTTCAGTCTGTAATCAGATGGCTCCAAGGCAGGGTGGCGTGGCACAGGGGCAACAGTTCAAGGAGGCAGAAAACTGCAGAAGCAACAAGAGCAAAAAAGAGGGGAGGGGGACAAACCTCTTTTCCTTGCATAGCACTCACACCATCTCACACTATCTCACACCCTCCTCTTGCACAGGCTCAGGGTATTTACAAAGTGAGGACCCTGGCCCCCTGCTGAGTCACTTAGTTAAACTTCTTAACTTCTCAAGTTGACACAATGAACAACCTAGAGGTAAGGGCAAGTCCTCTACACCCAGGATGTAGAACTGCTGAGTTACTTAGGTAAGCTTCTAGACTTTTCAAGTTGACACAATGTATAACCATTACACCCCTGGTCAGTCTCAAGCCTGGGTCAGCCTCTCTCACCCCGACAGCAGACTGCAGAGCCAAGTGAGCGGACAGGACAGGACCGAAACTAGGGAGGCCTTCTTGATCTTTACACACTAACTGCCATACGCCCAAAAAATATTCTATTGAACCCTATATTATATCTTTCTGTCAGAATCATACTGACAGTCTTATTTAATGTCTGCCTTTACCTCCAGACTATAGCTTCCTTTAATAATAGAATATACTTAATTGTTTAAAGCTTGTAAAAGTTGTGACAGAAACAGAAAACAACAACAGGAAGTTGTGAATGATATCATCTGGCTTACAAAACATATACTGTTTACCACATGGGCTATTACAGAAAAGGTCTGCTGAGTTCTACATGCGACTATCATCTCCTCAGGCCAACTGGCATCAACGCTAACCTGGACTGTACTATACCCATTTGTTATCTGGACACTGGGCAACACATTGAACTCATCCATTTTTGGCACAGTCATTTTTTACGCTACGTTGTCTCCTGCGGCCACCTTATTTCTTTACTTAGGATGCAGCAAGGTGACACCAGGCATTCTCCTTCTGGTGTCTTTGTGCTAAGCATTTGCTCCAACCTTGACTGTGCTTGATACGTGGTGGACAACTGAAGGTGAACTCACTCGGCTCCCTCTCACCCTGGACGTTAGTGACTATCTGGCCAGCCACACTCTACCTTAGGAAATGTAAAAATGTTTTTTATCATCTGCTACACCATTTTTGTAAAACTTTCTATTGCTTAACTTGCTTTTCAAAGAAGTCTAACTACAGGGTTAGACTCTCTTTGATTTAGCAGTCTTAAATACTGCCTTCTTTGTAAGCCATGTGGTCTTAAGAGACACTGCTCTGTAATTGTTATCTTCCCTGTAACATTATAAAGATGCATCAGGTATTTAATAAATATGCGAGTCACCCACAAAGAGCATGGAGGAAAGTACTCCTCCACTTAGTCTGAATTTGACAGGAGATTTTGTTTTTGACAAGAGATTTCAGGAGAGTACTTCTGGTCCCTGGAGACATGTGGACTGATTACTACCTTTGTGTGAGTGATGACAGACTGTCCTGGTTCTGGACTTTTAGTTAAAGACAGGGAATTAAAGTAAGTGTTTCACTCCTTTCCCTCCAAAACCACAATATAGGGAAGATTTTTAAAAGAAGAATAAACTTAGAAGGACAAAGAGAACAAGAAAGAAAACCACAAGGGGATAACTGAGGGCAACAAGTTCTTTGAAAACAGAAAATGGATGGAAGATTAGGGAAGTGACTTCGCAAGCAAAGAAAACTGCGAGGTACTAGTGAAAGGCCAGCTCAGTCACACCAGAGTCCCAGCCAGGCTCATGGGTCAGAAGCCCCAGGACTCGGGGAAGATGGAAGAGAGACCTGGCAACCAAATAGGGTCCTGGATCTGAGTTTGCACTCAGAGGGATTTACCTCCTTTCCTGTACAGGACAAGGAGAAGGTAAATTCCCTGGTGTCATGGTTTATATTTAGATACTTCACCCCCTCCATGTGCCATAGATGGGGCTTTGGGGAGGTAACTAGACCATGGGGTATGATATGATCAGTGGATTAACCCAAGGTGAAACCTGGTTGGAGGATGTGGGTGGCTGGAGATGTGGCCTAGACAGGTTTATCTCCCTCTCTTCCCTTGATCTCTCTCTGTTTCCTGCTGCCCTGCCATGGACTGTTTTTCCTCTGCCAGGCCCCTCTGCTACACCACCATATCTTGGAGCCAACCAACTACGCATTGAAACCACTACAAACTGTGAGCTAAAATAAAACTTTCCTCCTTTACACTGTGAATGCCAGGTATTTTGTCCCAGTGACGAAGGAAATAACTAAGACACTTGGAGAAAGTGCAGAGTCCCTAGACTCTGAGATTCTAGGCACAAAGGAAGGCCTGGGTGAGGACCAAGGCTGACACAAGGGGAAGTTAGTGTGCCAACGATACACATTCTGCCCTGATCTCTGGATGTCAGCAGTCAATTTCCTGTGACTAACCATGCTATCTACCACCAAGCAGGAAGTTGGAGAGTAATCAAATAGCTCTACAACAGAGTTCAAAACACTGACACATAGGAATGCTCTAAAGGAAATCTTATTATATGCACATCTTTCAGGGGAGCACACCTGCAGCTAGCTATAAAGAGCCTGCAAAAGATCCTCAATCTGTAGGAACAAACATTTGGTTAAGGATCACCAGAAACCTGGGGAAAGCCTAGCACATGATGGCAACACCAAAACAAAAAGAATAAAAGGACACTGAAGCACTGCATAAAGGAAAACAAAGCTTTAAAAAACAATCCTCCATTTCCTTCAGCGATAAAACATTACATCTATAAAACAAGCAAAGGATGCTACAGAAAATTGAACAACAGGAATATAAGAAAGAACTCTTAGAAATTACAACTATAACAAAAATAAAAACATAAATAATACAAAGTTTGAAAGATATAGTTAAAAATAGTAAAAATAAGAAATACAAATAGATGGAAAATAGAAAAGACAGGAATATTAAATGATCAATATGGAAGCCCCAACTTTTGCTTAAGTAGAGTTTTAGGAGGGAAAAACCCCCCAGATAAGCCAGGCTGGTGGTACATGCCTGTAATCCCAGAACTTGGGGGTCTGAGGCAAGAAAACTGCAAGTCTGAATCCAATCTGGGTTATACACATGAGTTCAAGATCAGCCTGAGCTACACTGAGCTACAGAGTGGGACTCTGTTCAGAGAGAGATAGGCATAGAAAGGGAGAGAGAGACAGACAGAGGGGAAGGGAGGAGGAAGAGGAAGGAGTGGTAGAGGAGACAAAAAAGAAAAGGGAAGGGGAGGGGAGGGGGGAGCAGTGGGGGAGGAGAAGGGGAAGGGAGGGGAGGGAAGGGAGAAAGGAAGAAAGAAAACAGACAATTAAAAAACTAGGCAAAATTATCTATTACTATAAGAAAGTTCCCCAGGTGGCGGGGGCCTTCAATGTCTAACACAACTAATTAAAACCTCTTGCTGAGATACACCACTGTGAAATTCACACTTACAGGATACAAAGAGAATTTCTTTAAAAATTTTTGAGGGAAAAACCCCCAGGTATCTACATTCTAGGACTCGGGAATCAGGAATACTATACAGGATTAAGAATCAGAACAGTATTGGGCTCTTTAAGAGCAGTGTTCAAAGCTATAAGACAATGGTGTAATTTCTTTTTTAAAATCTGACGGACAATAACTTTCACCCTAGCATTCCATTGTGTAGACACAGCATGCAAAAATGTTTACTTCCCATGAAGCGTAGTTTTCTAGGAAGTTGCTGGAGAACATGTTTTGGCAAAATGAAGGACTTAACGAAGAAGATAACCTGAGATCCAGCAAACCAGGGATTGGGTTCCGAGAGCGGAAAAGCTCCTAAGACGGCACCTGTGTACAAGAAATGCGCAATACCAGTCCAGCTTGTAGCTGGAAGATCGGGACCCTGCCTGGCAGTTAGGTCTCTTGGCTAAGAAAAGAACAGGAAGACCAGACAACCTACTCACGGGGCTTTAACACTGTGTGGGGACAGGGGAAAACATGACAAATACTGAGCAAGAAAAGAAGGTGGCTGGTAACTCCACAAAGAGCCGAGGTTATCCAAGAACAGAAATGTTTCTACCACATTAGGTTAACTTAAAAATACATATAAAAATATTGAGATATTAGGAGGGAGGATAAAAGAATTAAGTGTTTAACTTCCAAAACCGCAAGGCAAGGGAATCTATCTAAAATTGATAAATCAAGAACAGCAATCTAAGTACAGGATTAAAAAATATGGAGGCAAATACTAAGGAAGAAAAACAAACCTAGTTACTGCTTTGTGATCAGGACCTCTTCAGCGTTACTGAATTTTAGAACACATTTAATTGGATTACTACTCTCTAACAGCTTGTGTAAAATAAAGATAAAAAATGAATTTAGCAGACGTCACTCTGCTAGTGACACAAGCGAAGCGAACCAGGCTGGCAGCGGTGAACAGTGAGACGCTGTGTGGTGAGCTCAGGGAGCTTGCAGGGCGCCTGTCACACAGGGACGAAGGACAGCAACTCTGAAGGACACCTGCAGGCAGCCGAGAGGACCCCTGGGCGGACCGGACATACTAGCAGCTGCTGCTATGTACCAAGCCCTGTGTGCCAGGCATCTTCCTGGGTGTCATGTGTGGCACCTCAGTTAATCTCTGCAACAGGTGGACATTGTACTGGCCTCACTGAAGAGGTGAAGAAACCAAGGAAAGGAGCGGGGAAACACTTTGCTACTAAGGGGTGGGGCCAAAATTTAAATTTTGAAAAATGTGCATGTGGTAAAGCCAAGTATGATAGATTAAATCAAATGGACATTTAAATATGTTAACATTTTAACAGGATCAGGCTGTAAATGGACAAATGCTTATTATAATGTTCAGTAAAAAAAAAAACCTATTAAAACAATTACCCATCCCATATGTATGCAGGCATGCAGGTGTGCCTGTGTTGTATGTGGATAAACAATCCCATTCTCCAAAACTCCTAAGCATGAAAGAACCCTGCAGAGAATGTATTAAAAGAGCTTTATTTGATATTGGAGTTGTGGGTGGCTTCTCTTTACTGTGCTTCTAATATTCCATACGAATGGAGAAAATCTATAGCCAACAAGCAATCAAAGCAGAGAGGGTCTACACAGCACACAGAGGCATTCAGCGTGCTGTAGGTGATACTTACTATAAACTGCTCAATGTCGCGTTCTAGTCCCACGTTTGGCAGATCAGGCATCATATGAGCCACAACTTTGAAACCAGAATCTTTGGCCAGGTGGAATGACTCACACACTGCCTTGACAGTGTGGCCCCTGAGGAAAGAAAATTCACTACTGTTATGCAAACAAAAGTGCCCCATGGGTAAATCCCCATCACATACACTCTAGCGCCACAGCCAAGTAGGAAGCGAGCCTCATCAAAGGCTGGGGCACTGAAGAGGGAAGCCTGGTATCAACCCCTTCCCGCACCAGGACATTCCCATTCAGCACAGAACAGTCCTAGACACCATGGATTCTGCCGCATTCCCTCTGCACCTTCCCATCTATTCCCATGGCTCCAACTTTTGCTCTTTTGGCGAAGGACCCCAAGGTTCTGTGATGAAGCTGGGCCTGTCCTCTGAACTCCACGCCCAAACAACCAACACCTCAAAGTTACACTCTATGCTATGCTAGCTGCTACGTATGTGTAGTTTTCAAATTATTTAAAGGGAACAAAAGGCGATATTCAGTTTCTTAGTTGGACTACCTTGGACAGTGCAGGCATACAGCATTTTCGTCACTGCAAAATGTGCTACTGGCTAGCCCTGCTCCAAAGCTAGCTCTGCACTTGTAGCTGCACTGGTTCCACTAGTATCCAAAACTTAGTGTATCCAAAATGAAACCCATGTCCCTCCAAACTTCCTGGACTTCCTATTTTCATTTCTAATCATTCACCAAACCCTGCTGCTCACTTCTTAATGGGATATTGATATTTCCTGCTTAAATTACAACAGCTTCCTAGTACCTACATGGGAAAAGCTGTCTAGGGCAGGGACAGGAGCGGGATGAGCACGGTTACAGGATACTGAAGAGGGGACTGAAAGCGAGGGAAGAGGGGGTGGACTGAAGAGCAAGGCAGAGGAAGCGATTCTGAAAAGGAGGAACCCTAGACTCCTCTGTCTGAGACTGAAAGAAAGAATGTGTATGAATGTGAGGAAACTGGGGAACAGACGGAAAAAACAACCTGTGGGAGATCGTCTGCCACCTTCTCACCTGTTGGTATCTCTGGCCACATCTTCATACACACTCTGCACCCCAATCTCCAGCCTTGTGCAGCCGTAGGTCAACATGTCACTTAAGTGTCGCTTCATGCAATAATCTGGCCTGGTCTCGATGGTAATTCCAATACACTTTGTGAGGCTTCTCTCAGAATACCTGTAGAGCACATTTCAAATAACAGATCTGCTACAATCTTGGATCCCTTTCTTCCACTCAAAGGACTGCCTTTCCTTAATCTGCCCAGGATGGGGCAGTGGTTATGCGTGGACTACGGATGTGGACTAAATTCAAATCCTGGCTCTGCTACTTCCTGACTATGCAAACGGCAATGCTGTTAACCTCTCTGGGCTTCAGATTCCTTATCTGCAAATGACAGTAATAGCAGCACCGGTACCTCACAGGTCTGACATGACTGAACTCGCAGATCAGAATATTATTATCATTATCCTTATTATTCTCATGCAGTGTGCTGCAACTATAATCTTCTTGGAAACAGTGATTTCAACTGTGAAAACCTATTTTTCAATTCCTAGCAACCATTCTTCACATCACTGAAAACCATCTGCATTATTTCCCACTCTGTGTTTCAGCGTCATTTTAAATAAGAGGCAAAAAAAGGGGAGGGAGAATATATGTAATGATCATGGGAATAATTTAGATGAAATGGCTTCCACATATACAAAAGTCTTTCCACCAAGCCTATTACTCTTAGTAATGATTTACAAAATCAGAAGACATTTTTGTCATTTACTAAAAGCAGGTGTTAGAAAAGCGAGTACCACTTTAGATTTCAGTCATGGGAGTTAGTGGTCTTAATGCTGGCCACCCACAAATAGGAGTCAAATCACTTGCTCAGGGGCTGGTGAGGCAAGAGGACAAAAAGTCACTTTGATGAGGCCACCCTGGACCAAGGGGTCTCTCAATATACAACCCTTTCAGCAGCCCGGTGAGTCCTATCATCCCCATTTTGCATATGAAGATACTGACGTTCAAAGAGAATAAACAGCTCATCTAAGGATACAGCACTAAAGAAATTCAAGTCAGGATGTGAATTTAGTAAGGGCTTATGATATGAAGCAAACATACAAAGATCAACTGCATGCATAATGCTGCAAACAACCTAAAATAAAACCCTAAGTATAAAAGCTAAAATTGTAACTAGAAAGCACAAGAGAAAATCTTTATGCCTTAGGAACATGTAACAGTTTACCAGTGACAAAACAGAAAGCAATAACCATAAAAGAAAAAACTGCTAAGTTAGACCTCATCAATTCTGCTCAAAGATATAATTAATACCGTGAACAGTCAAAAAACAAATTGGGTTTTCGTATTTACACAAAACAGATCTGAAAAGGATTGGATTCCAGGATACATAACAACTCAATTACAAATGAGCAAAAGATTTTAACAGACACTTCACAAAGGAAATACATTCAAATAGCATAAGCATATACTAAAGTGCTTCATGGGACTAGTCATTAGGAAAGCATGAATTAAAACCTTAATTAATATCATTTCATACCCACAGAATCACTAAAATGAAAAGGTCCAGGGGTCGGGATTTAGACTGTCTAAAGCAGGCACAAAGGTGAAGACAAACATTACTTGACTTCAGGACATAGTAAGAAGCTACAGTAATCGACACGGTGTAGTACCAGCATTGGGTACTGGTAAAATCAGAACGGCTACCTCTGGAAGGCCCAGTGAGGATTTCTTGAGAAGAGGTGTAGTTCAGGGGCAGAGCATTTGCGTAGCATGTGTGAGGTCCCAGCACAAGTGCACACACACATACACACACTCCCAAAACAAAAGGATTGGCAATATCAGGTTTTTGAGGATACAGAATAATCAAGTGCTCAGACATTACTGGCGGGAGTACAAGTGATACAGTCATTTGGCAAAATGGCTGACAGTTGCTTATAAAACTAAACAAACTTAGCAATTCTAATTACTACCCAGAGAAGTAAATGTGTATATTCACAAAGATTTGTATAAGAATGTTCTGTGAAGTTTTACAGATAGCCACACACTGGAAATAGGCCTGGAATCCATTAACAGAAGTATGACTAAACAAACTGGTAGATACCTATGATGGAATACTACTTGGTACTAAAATGGTAGCAAGTACTAAACTCCTAATAACATTGATGAATCTTAAAATACCGTGCTCAGTGAAAGAAGCCAAACACAAAATACTACATGCTAGATTTATATGAAGTTCTGGAATAGGCAAAATCCATCTATAGTGAGGAAAATATCAGAACAGCTGCCTCTAGAAGGTACAGGTGAGCATTTCTTGAGAAGGGCATAAGGCAACCTTCGGGGATAATAATAATGTTCTGTATCTTAATAGGGCTTTGCTGCATAGGTACATGCATTTGTCAAAACTACTCACTGGTATAATTAAGATCTGTGTATTTAACCATATGCAAATTTACTTCAAAAGAAAAACACCAACAATGAATACAGGTAATCCATGAAAAAGTACACACACACACACACACACACACACACAAGACCGATGAATGGATAGTGGAATGAACAGACGTGATAAAGCCGGTATTGCAGAATTTAGGTGACAGGTAAGTGGATGTCACTGGGAAATTCTTTCAAATTTCCTTTCAAATAAAATGCTGGAAGAAAAACTAGTATCACCTCATTTAAGATAGTCAGGACTGTATCTTAGGTTGCTTAGCTGTTGTTAAGGACTATCTACGAAAATCAGGGTAGGTCAAAGTGGTCCATATATCAAGTGAGGAGCAGGGAGTACCAGACTCAAAAGCCAGAAATTCAGGAAGTTCTGAGGCCTGAGGTTCTAAGGCCCAGAGCAGCAAGGCAAGACACAGTCACTTTCAAGCCTCCCAGGCTGCTTTGCTTCCCTGCCAGATCTGCACGTCTAGGAAACTGACTTCGGGCCCTGGTACCCAGCACTACCTAGCACTCCAGCTTTCCCAAGACATGTAAGGACACATTTGGAGGATTTAAAGGCATTGGTGAGGGGGAAAAGAAGGAACGGAAATGAATTAAAAATTCCAAGGGAGAAAGGTGACTCACTCACTTCTTGATGGGCAACTACCCTTTTAAATTGCATCTTGTAAAAACAGCCAAGGAGCATTAAAGATTGAATGTGAACCTGCTTCTGGGCAGAGCTGATTAGAAAGTAATAAAACTCTCTTAAAAGGTTGCTCTGAGTTATTTGGCATCATCTGCATCCCGTGAATGGGTGACTCAGATTCCACTGTCGGTCCTCTTTATCTCCAGAGCTATGATTCTTAAGGATGACGGACACCGGTAATTGTCGCTCTCTGGAGACCGAGCTGATAGTAAGGAGTGATTAGCGCTGTGCTCAGTGCAGTGATCCTGCGCAGAGACCATAACGGGCTTTGTCCTTGAACGGATCTCCACTCATTCAGCTTTCCAGCTTTCCCATCTGCAAGGATATTATGTCCTGCCTGCCTGCCACAAACAAGCAGGCTAACCTCACCGGAGTTGTTCTTCCCCGGAATTCCTGATCTTGTAAGAGGCAAACCTTCAGCAGATGAGGCACATGAAAACAAAGCAAGGACACCTTCACAACGGTGAAGCCTGATCCTAGCTTGAACAAAGACTTTTACCCTGAACACTGTTGCCTTGTCTGCCTCAATATGTAATTTTCAACCTAGTTTAACCTTCAGACTTTTTTTTTTGGTATCGGGAATCGAACTCGTGACCTTGTGCTTGCCAGGCAGGCGCTGTGCCGCTGAGCTATATCTCTGGCCCTTCAACCTAGTTTAAAAGTAACCTTTAAAAAATAGCCTTTAAAGGTAATGAAAGCTAGTTAGCAAGCACAAACATCTAATAATTAGTAGCAAAATAAACCTGAATTTCATCTCTTCACATCTGAAGGAGGCCAGGCACAGTGGGAAAACCAGCCAGTTTTCACTAAAAGCCTCTCTACCACTTAATACAGAGAACAACAAGGTCGAATCCAAAAATCTTGAAAAGGATGCCATGTGTCAAAAATACAGTTGTCCTGGGCTGTTCGTTATTTTACAGTGATGCTAATATTTGCAAATAATTTAATGTGTCTAGTTCTCTAGTTCATGTCAGACTACTTGTTCAAATAACATGAAGTTTCTCCCAAAACAAATACCAGCTCTGGTATAGGAAACTGGTAGCAAAAAAAATTCACCTCAACAAAGCAAACAAGAGTTCACAAACTGGCTTTTATCACACTGCCTCATAAAAATATAGCAATGAGGAGAACAGAGTGAAACACACAGTGTGGGCTGGCAGAGCTCAAGGCAGCACTAACAGTGATTTTATGGGTCCCAGATTGCACTTTTATTATTTCCTAAGAGCCATTCGTGAGATTTGTTGCAGTGAAGACTCAAACCATATATAAATTTTTATCTGAAAAGTAAAGTGTTTGTTGCCCTCTTGAGGTAAATTCAAGAATAGAAACAAAACAACACTGGCTTTGCCTCCTCCATTACCGAAAGAGGCTTTCTTCTCCCCAGGAATTTTGGATAAACACTTCACGAACTGAAGTTCGCTTGTTTTAACGGCGCTAGCACACTTCTGCACAAAGCTTCACATCAAGAATGAAGCAAAATTGTTAAAGTTGCAATTGATGAAAGTGGCACACTAGCTACGTCCTAGATACTCATCACACAGACCTCAGCTGCTTTACGGAACCCGGGTGCTGTGTGGAACCCACATATTTAAGATATTTATAGCTCAATTCCACTTAACAGACAAGGTCTCAGCACAAGAAACCTGCAATGAGAGAGGAGTACATAAATACAAGAGCTCGGGAAGAAAAACTGAATGGTCTTCAAAGATCACCCTGCTAGGGAAGTTTCTGGGCTAACTCTCAGTCATGACCCTCTGAGGCGCTGCTGCCACCCCAAAGTCTCGTGGCTTCGGACTCGCTAAGTTAGTTTCCTCAACTGCATCTTATCAAAGCTGTCAGGTGATTTTTCAGTATCAAGGGGATCGAGTTGGATGACATCACTACTCCTCTAAAGTTTGAAGACTTCTGCATTTTGCTAAGCATGACTCACACTCATGAATGATCAAGGTTTTGAATGAGTGGTAAAAATAGTTCCCATCTCATCCCGCTACTGAGGCCCCTGTGGGAGCCACGCGCACTGCAGAGTCTGGATGTAGAGACACAGAATTCACCTGTCACATACCCTAGAGTCAATCAAAGAAAAGTAGGCTGCTCATCGTGACACTCTCCCAGCGGCCGACTCTTTACACAGGCCCCGCAAGTATCCTTGTAATTTTATTTAAATGTATGAGAAAGCTCCTCGGTTCTTTTCATGTTTTACAAACTCAAAGGAGACCCACAGGGGAAGCACACATGGTACACAAACATGTAGCTATCCCCAATTTCAAAAGGCAACATCAGCAGCTGTCAATGTTTGATCTACAGATTAACCATTCATTCAAAATCTACTCACACATTTACTTAAGCCTACTAAGTACTAAGAACTGCTTTAATTATAGGTTAACACAGCCATCCTTGGTCCATTCAAAATCTGGTGCTACTTATCATCACATAAAAACTCTAAGAGGGGCACAGTTTGTAAACCGTAGAGTAAGCTGGATGATGTTTCCCTTTTTTCTTATAAATGAGGAGCCAGAGACAAGCTTGAAGGTGGTAACAGCAGCAGAAAACAGAGACCACATTCCTTCTAATACTTTCAAGTGCTGATGGTGTACACACAGGTGCACAAGTATGTACACACACACATACACATACATACCCATATAGTACACACAGCACAATTTCTACACCTAGCAGCTTCTAGCACTGCAGTGGAGGTCAGGCTCTGAAAGCAAAGCAGCCTGGGGTCTATTTCTTTATTTTTATTTGTTTGCAGTACTGGCACTTAATCCTGGGGCCTTGTGCATATGAGGCAAACACTCTACCGCTGAGTTACACTCCAGCCCCTGCCTGAGTTACACTCCCAGCTCCTGCTTGGGTGTCTTGGTTACTTTTCTCTCCTTGCTGAGACAAAGTAGTTAACACCCAGAATTAAGGAAGGAAAGATTTATTTAGCTCACAGTTTGTGGAGGTTTCAGTCATACTCAGACTGGCACATTGCAGAGGGCAACCGTTCATGGGGGCGGAAGACAGCAAAAGCAGCCAGAGTAAAAGGGAGCAGTGGCGGCAAGCAGCCTCCTTCTCTCCCTTACAGTGGATGCAAACTATCTGCCCCAGGGCGTGCAGTACCCACGTCCGTAATTCCAACATCGGACCATGAATCAATCATAAACTATAGAAGCCCACCTCATGACTGCATGAGGCTTTGGGGGGACATTCAGACACAAACCATCACACTGGGGTTTATGTCCCCACTCTGCCACTGACTCCCTGTGTAGCTTTGGTCAAATTACTTCATCTCTCTTCACTCAAAGGGTTACTGTGGGTATGAAATAAGAGCAAACGTAAACATGCTCCTTTTCTTCCATTTCCCACTCCCTTTCTCCTCAGCTTGAAGCCTTCTGACGATTACAGTTCTACTGCTTCTCTCTCCTACACACACACACACACACACACACACACACACGTTCATGGACACAAATGATGGCACCACAGTATAAGAACTGCTCTACACCGCGCTTTTTCACTTAGTATACCTTGGAGATCTTCCCCTTAGGTGATCTCATCCATTTACAAAGCTGTAAATAGCACCTCTGAGCTCGTCACCCCCAATTCTCTAGTGCTAGCCCAGGCTTTTGTAGTGCTAGCCCACCCAACACCTCTGCCTGAATGTACTGCAGGCATTTCAAACCGAAAGAAAATCTTTTGATTTTCTCCCCTAATTCTGCTCTTCCCTCGGCCGCCTTCACCTCAGCATACTGCACCATGTTCCGACCACCGCCGTCAGCCCAAAGCTGTGCGTCATGCCGGACTCCTTCCCAACCTTTTCTTCATCACCTCTGCCACCACCCTCACCTGAGATGGGTGATGGTCCTATCGGCTGCCCCTTGCACTCTTGCACCCCTCTAAACCCAGGGCTAGCCACCATTAGCCACCATGACCTTCCTCATGAACCAGAACACAGCACTCTCCTGCTTAGGGCCATCTATCTTCCTACTGCATTTCAAAAAAACAAAACTTCATCTCCTCACAAGTACGTATAATCTGGGCCTTATCCAACACTGCAATCTCATCTCAGGCCATTCTCCCTCTTCTTCACTGGGATCTCTTCTGACGTTTAAAGACTTTGGCATTTTCTAAGCACACTGCACCCTGATTCAAGCACCGACTCCTCTTTATAGGCCACATCCTGTCTATCACTGCAGTGCCTTTCCATGGCAGCACTTAATTCTTTGCAGCCTGCTGAGCCAGTGGAACAAAAACACCATGAGGACAAGAACGGTGCTTGTCTTACTCACCACGGTTCCCAGGGCCTAAAACAGTGCCTAGTACCTACACTGTGCTTTTTCACTTAGTATACCTTGAACCTGTTAGAACCTAACAGGCTCTCCGGAAACATTTGGTAAAAGAGTAACAAATAGCAAACAAGTATTCTCAAAACATCTGAAAACAAAAATCATTTTAATACTTACACTTCTTAAATTATTGAACTTTATATGAAACCTTAGTACTCGTCCTAACTCTGGCATACAAAGTATCAAAAGAATTCATAATTCTTTTTTTTCCCTGATTAGATTTCAGAAGAATTGAATCTACTATGGTTCAAATGTTTGTCCCCTCCACACTCTGGGTTGAAATTTAGTTGCCAATGAATCCGTATTAAGAGGTGGGACCTCTGACAGGTGGTTAGGTGGGACCTCTGACAGGAGGTCTCAGCCCTCATGGGTGGGATAACGTGGTTACAAGAGGGTAAGTTGGGCGCCCTTTTGTGTAACTTGCCCTCTTGCTGTAACGACAAGAAGGTCCTTGTCAGACGCTAACACCCTGATATCGAACTTCCCAACCTTCAGAACCAAGAGATAATAAACTGTTGTGATTATAAACTACCTAGTCTCAAGTGTTTGGTTACAGCAGCATAAAACAGACTAACAGCCCATTCATAAACAGAAATTATGTAACAGTTCCAGCATAGTAGTCACTAATAAATCAGATTTTAAAAAGTCACTTGTTTTGTTGATTTTATAGCAGGTAAATGTGAAAAAGAGTATCCAGCTCAATCAAAACTAGTCCTAGTTTAGATAGTTGTTTGGATCTGCTTAAGCCTGAAAAGACATTTTATAGATCATATTTTGTGAGTATCTCTATTTTAGAATACTATGTTGTCTTTTCTCATTTCTGAGACAAAATACCTGACACCCAAAGTTAAAGAGGGAAAGGTTCATTTAGCTCACAGCTGATAGAGGTTTTAGTCCATAATCAGCTGGCTCCAAGGCAAAGTGGTACATGGCAGAGGGGCAACCATTCATGGCAGCAAAAGACAGCAAAAGCAACAAAGAGACAGAAGACAAGCCTCTTTCTGTCCCTTATATTGTATCCAGTCTACCTGGATTAGAGCAGTACCAATCCAATCAGTGGACTGATCCAGCAATCACCCACCCTTAATCCCAGCACTGCACTATGAATCAATCACACACTCTAGATTCAGCCATCTCTGAAAAAAACTCTAGGATTGCTTGAGGATTTAAGGGGACATCTAGACACAAACCATAACATATGTGAATGGATCATATCCATTTTGTTTGTTTGTTTTGAGACAGGGTCTTACTAAGCTGCCATGGCTGGCCTAAAATTTTCAGTCCTTCTGCTTCAGCCCCTTGAGTAGTTGGGATCATAGGGATACCCTATTATGCCTCGCTAGTCCATCCGTCCTTCCATCCATCCCTGTGTCTGTCCGTCTCTCCTTCCTTCCTTTCCTTCCTTCCTTTTTTAAAAGGATTCTTTCAATGAAAATGATCCTTTCCCACAAGACAAAGGAGGGTACAAGGGATAAGAATGTCAATGTAGAACAGAGGAATAGAGAACAGAAGCATTCTCAGAAACATACTTTTAAAAGGATAAACTTTGTAGAAGTGTACATTATTATAAATTAGTAATTTCTTACTTGACTGCCTCGTAAATATTGTTGGAAGTATGTCCTGATAAGGCATCATGTAAATTTCGGATAAAATAATCCCTGTATTCTTCTGGAAGGGCCATAAAAGTTCCACCCATCACAATAAACTCCACTTTATCCACACTGTGACCAAGCTGTTTTAACTGAAAGAAACAAATTCACCAGCATTAGAAAGGTATAGGCAACTGTTCTAACAGGGTATTAAAAAAGTTCTAATTTTATTTTGCAATGATTCTTTAAAGAGGAGAAGCAATTAAACATATTTAGCAAATGCTCTAGATAAAAAAATAAAGTCTAAAAGAAAAAAATTACTGCTTAAGGAAGGGAGAAAGAGAATTAAAGATGAACAAAAAGGTTGACTTCAATACTTGGAGTTGTGTAGAAACTTAAAAACCACAAGGAATATAAACTAGAAAGCAGTAAAGACAATATACTACACAAAATGCAATATAATAAATATTTATGTGTAATACATCTTATGTCGGAGTCTGTGATAAGCCTTGGGGACAAAAAAGATACATTTCTGATTATGAAACAATTATGCATGCATGATTATACAACATAACCAGGAGCTCATAGAGGGAAGAAAAAAGAACACTATATTAGTAAGAAAAATCAAGAAATCAGTTTATAATTGAAGACTGTAGGCACCGATGACCCCACAAGCCTGCTTTCTGGGAGGAAAAAAACCCATCAAAGCGAATGATTAAAAATGAAATATTATGCCTCCTCTACTAGGCAATGTAATGGCACAAATCTTTCATCCTGTCAACTACAATAAGCCAAGACTGTAATTCTTAAAAATAGGTATTTAAATTTCTTGCTGTACTGTTAGCCTTGAGGAAACAAGGCTCAAGCAAAGTGCCAAATTATAAACAAGAATTCATATATGACGTAAGGCTGTCCACACTAATTAAGATAAAAAGGTGCCTTTTTATATTTGTTTCCTGAATATGGCAAATAATAATTCATACTACATGTGTGTGTATGTATACCTATCTAAGCTTCAACACTAAAAGAACATTCCACTTCTATATCTATGATTGTTTCTAAGGAATACACATCAAAATCACCCTGATGGCATTTTCAAAATAATCTTGCAGGACTCCAGAGGTGAGGCTCTGCCTGTGTCATGGAAGTGACTCATGGTTATGGTGCGCTTACAGTTAGAAACGAACCACCACTCTGTCTTAGTTTCTAAATCTCTAAAACTCAGGCTCCTTTTTAGTAAACACGAACATTTCACACTCTGTTGAAACACAGTTCTACATTTTAATGAGTTAAATAACATGGCTTTTAAAAAACAACAGACACTAAGCCAAAGTTGGTTTAGAACATGCTTTTCCAAGCTATGTATGCTCCCCCAATGGGGGCCTCTCCTACTGCTGACAATCTTGTTGAAGAGTATGCTTGGATAAAATGAAAGTTAGAACCAGGCTAATAAATAGTTAAATAAATCCCGAAGCAATTCATTGAGTATGGAATATACCACTTACTATTTTAGACTGAATATTTGCCCAACTGGATGTTACTATAATGACTACAAATGATGGCTGACATTTTTATTTTTTTTATTTTAAAGAGAAAGAAAAACAATAAAACAACACAAAAACGATAAAAATGATACAGGATTTCAAAACAAGATGACAGGAATTAATAATGGTTGTCATATTACATATTGTTATCTTCAACGAAGTTGCTCAGATTACCAGATGTAAGAATGCAAGATTGATCAAACAATTAAGGAGAATAAAAAGTAATAAGAAAAATTAGACATGATACAGAGCTTCACTGAACAAGATGCTAGGAATTCAACAACAATTGTTCTATTGCACACCGTTGTCTTCAAATTAGTTGTTCAGATTACCAGATATAAGCATGCAAAGTTGGTCAAAAAAAAAAAAATTTAAGTATTAACTATTCTTTTTAATAAACCAATAGACATCAGCAGTACAATTATCCCAGCTATCCTTGTATATACATATATATTTCTTCCCTTCCTTCTTTCTTTCTTTTCTCCTTTCCCTCATCCCAGTTGTTCCTTCCTTTGAGCAATTTCTTTCCCTTTTACAATATCTATTGTACCTTTTGAGTTTTATTTACTCTTTCAGGTTCTTACACTAGGGAGACAATCTGATGTTTACACATGCAAGTCAGATTTATTTCATTTATGAGTATGGTCTCTAGTTGCATCCATTTACCTATGAAAACCTCAAATTCACCTTTTTATAGCTGAGTAATACTCCATTGTATAAAAATACATCTTTTTTATCCATTCCTCCGTTGATGGGCATTGGGGTTGTTTCCAAAATTTAGCTATGACAAATTGTGCTGCTATAAACATGGGTGCACATACATCACTGTGGTATGATATTTGCAGTTCTTCTGGAAAAATACTCAGAAGGGGAATAGCCGGGTTAAGTGGGACCTCTAATCCTAATTTACTAAGGAATCTCCACACTAATTTCCACAGTGGTTTCACCAGTCTACATTCCCACCAGCAGTGGAGATGGGTTCCTTTTTCCCCACAACCCCTCCAGCATTTGTTACTGGTTGATTTCTTGATGACAGCCATTCTTTCTGGGGTGAGATGGAATCTCAGTGTTGTTTTAATTTGCATTTCTCGAATGACCAAAGATGTTGAACATTTTTTCATCTACTTATTTGCCATTTGTATTTCTTCATCTGGGAAGTGTGCATTCATCTCAGATGCCTATTTTTGGATTCGGTCTTTGAATTTTGGGCCTGATTTTTTTTAATTCTTTATATGCTCTAGATAGAAGTCTTTTGTCTGAGGGACAGTTGACAGTTGAAAATTTTTTCCCAATTTGTGGGTTTTCTTTTTACCCTGTTGGTGATTTCTTTTGATATGCAAAAACTTTTCAATGAGATGAGGTCCTAGTTGTTAATTCTTTGGAGTATTTCTCGTACAGTTCGGTTTCTGTTCATGAACTCTCTGCCTACCCCTATGTCTTCAAGATTTCTACCTACTTTCTCTTCCAGTAGATATAGTATTTCCGTTTTAATATTTACATCATTGATCCATTTTGACTTTAGTTTAGTGCATGGTGATGGACATGGGTCTAGTTTTAATCTTCCGCATGTAGAAGATAGCTTGTATTTTTAAAAGTGGACAAGTTTAAAATAAAGTTATAAACAAAAAAAAATGTATCTATGTTTAGATTTCTAGAAAAGCACAAGGCCCTTTGCACAGTACTTGTTTTTAATCAGTAAAGTGGAGATCTAATTTATATGCAATAAAACACATTACCTATAAACTGAGAAAGTGTGAATTTTTGGAAAATGTTTAGTTATACAGTGTAACCACCACTCAGTATAGAATGATTCCATAAGTCCTGCAGACTCCTCACACCACTTTGCAGTCAATTCCTACCTGGTAAACCAGTCAGAGCCTTTCTTGGTCCAGTTTATAAAATTCAACCCAGGCACTATCTTCTAAGAACGTTCATACACTTTCAGTCCATAAATTTCATACCATGTGACTTTCTACAGATAGAACCCTTAAAGAAGCAATACAGTCTCTAAAGAAAGGAGTGTTTCTGACCATGCCAGACATCGCAAAATATAGTCTCCTTCCCTCGGACAAGTATGAACAACTTCGAAAGGAGAAATACATTCTTACTTTTTATTTCATAATAAAGCAACAATACCTTTTTAAGTGTAAAAATCTCATTGAAAATATGTTACTTCAGGGGCATAAGGGAGGGCAGTAAGAAGATGGATATAATCAAACTATGCTATATGCATATGAGAAAATACTACAGGGAAACCCAGTATTTTGTAAAAATCAATATGCACTAATAATTCAAAAAAATTAATGCTTTTTCAAAATTTACCTGTTCTAGCCGGTGTCTCGTTTGTAGATAAGGGTCATATCTAGCACGAATAGCTCGCATGGAGGTTGGCTAAGAGAAAAAGAGAAAATACTCTGTGAACGCTCAATTTAAAAAGTTCTGAAAAGATGTAGTACAATAAAATTCTCTGTGGTTTTGAACATTAAAAACTGGTCTTGCAGCGCATCTTCCATTCTCCATCTAACCAGGGTTCAAACGCTGTCCTGTGCAGCATCTGGCTAGCCCCACTCAATTGCCAGCAGGGCCTCAACAGCAGGGTGATTCCTGGGATCTCATCTGTCTTCTGTGTAAATGCTTATGAAATCCCCAGGGCCTCCAAAGTGTTCTACTACTCACACAGATGTGCACACAAACTCACGAAGATTTATGGGGCAAAATGACCTGTAAACAAGGTTCTTAGGCACACATGGTTTGTAATGACTTAATAGCCTTGATGCTACTGTCGTGCAATGGAAAGCTCCACAGCCGTGAAACGATGTGCGGGTAGACAACGTTCTTGGAGATATGCTGTAAAGTGCAAAGGTAAGGTGCGGAATACCGCTTTCACACTCTACCTTATATGTAAGAAGGAAGGGCAAAGGCTTTTAGATCCATAAAATATCGCTGAAGGATGTGAAGGAAAGAGGTAACCCTGACCGCCCACTGTGAGGAGGAGTGGAACAGGAGAGCTATGAGATAGAAATGAAGGGGAATCATCACTGAATGATTTCTTTTGTATTTTCAAAAATTTGAACCATAGAAAATTGGAGGAAAAATGAAAGCAATTTACAAGAAGAAAATGTCACTGGGTTTGCTGGTATCTGGCCTCTTCTGAAGAAGGCAAAACCTTCCCGTGCAGATGACTGGCCTCCTGTCCCCAACCTACTTACTCCTTTTTAGAAAGCTAGTACTTGTAAAGCCACACTCTGGATAAAACATGATGTAACACTTCATCAGGACGACCTCGAAGTGCTGTACCTCATATCCGGTGTAGGACTGGGTAGAGTATTCAAAGTCTGAATCAGGTCCACCAGGGCAGTAGCTGGCAATACAGTGAAAGAAGAAGGGGTCAGACACAAAACCTAGTTCAAGAGTCTAGCCTAAGAATCAACAGTCTCCATAAAATCCTGCAATCCCATGAGCTTCACTCCAATCCTAACAGAACAGTATACCTGCACAGTACCTGCAAATAATGTACTTTCACCAATAAGCAAACAAGATAACTACGTAAAGGAATACTATTGCGTTCATTTTCCAAATACTGCAGTCACCGTTATTTTAGAGGTTTAAACTTTTAGAGCAAATCACAAGAATCAATTTCTCCTGTATGAACCAATAATCATAGTGTTGTCTTATGACACACTCAGGAAAATCTCTCCTATTTAATGTTCCTACCTACTGCCATGCATATGCTTCTGCTAATTCTCCCAAATATCTAAATTTGAGACATCTAAAACTTATTTATAAGTATAGTTTTTTATTTTGTTACTCTTCTCATCCAAATTCATTTTAAATTTCTGCTGGAATTGAGGCAGTTCAAACACATTTCATTTGTCCAGTTAACAGGGTGTCTATTCATCTAAGTTCCAAAAGCTATGTATTTTTTTCTAATGTTGTAATAAATCAAAATATTTATATGTTCCATTTTAGAAGTACTGAAATATCCTAATGATGGCTGTTTGTTTCAGAGAACTAACCTATACATCTATTAAATCAAAGCTTTAAACATTACCAGCACGTACTGATCAAGGCATTACAGAATTTATTGGCCAAATTAAAATACACACACACACACACACACACAAATTATTGAAATCACCAGACTTACACACATATGTTTCCTGTAAAACTTATGTGTGGGCATCTGTGGGGTTTGCACATCACAGCAACAACAGCAATCTATAAAAGATTAACAAAAAAGCTATTATGGAAAAATTAATACAAAATTCTGCAGTTTAGTTATCCTTTGAAGGAAGGTGAGGAATGCAATCAGAGTGGCACCCTAAGGGCTATTGTTTCTTAGGCAGGGGACAAGAGGAGCTCTTTACAATATTAATCATCTGTAAAATGTACATATGAATTATACCTATGAGCTTCATATATTTTATAAAAATTAAGTACAAAAGAAGGAATTGATTTTTAAAGCTACAGTGGTTCTTATTTTCTCTCTGATTTATTGCTTTTACTAAAATAGCCTAAAAGAAAAACATTATGCAATTTTATAAAATTTGATATAAACTTAACTTCTGTAATTCAAATTCCTCAAGACACACTAGATCTCAACATTTACAGCAAGGACCATAACTCTACGAGCTAAGACTCATCCGGGCAGTGGAAAATAGTCTCGGAGGGTGGAACAGAGCAGAAGCTCAGGGAGGAAAGAATGTGCTTGAGAAAGGAGCTGGCGGCAGGGAGGTGGGCAGCAACAAAACACATTAAAACGAATGTAATCTGGGCTTCCTACTGGAAGAAAAGGAAATTACAAATACAAAAAGGGAAAGAACTAGAATGAACCCTGGGGCTGGATAAAATTGAAAGGACTGCTGTGAACTCAGAATTCAGTGTATGAAAGGATATAAACACAGATGGAAATGTCTTACGTATGAGTCCCTATGTATGTATGGAGATTCACAGTATTCTGTGATTTTCCTGCCAAAGACATCTCATCCAATTTAATTATCAAGAAACATTTGATAAATCCAAATTGAGGGATGTGCGAGAAAATAACTAGCCTGAAATCCTCAAAAGGGTCAAGGTCCTGAAGGGAAGGACATGGACATGTCTGGAATGAGAAATGATAATTAAATTCCCAGTGATCCTCCCCTCGGATCCTGTGGACACGTTACCGAAACAAGTAGTGAGGCCTGAATAAGAGACTGGGAGTAGACAACAAGGTATCCGTATTCTGTTCCTGATTTGGATGGCTGCATTGTGGTACTGTAAGAAAATGTCCGTGTTTGTAGGAAATACGCACCGAAGCATTCAAAGGCATCAATTTTGCAATTTACTTTCAAGTGATTCAGGGGTACTTTTAAATTTGCTGTAAGTTTGCAATTACTTTTCACAATAAAAATTACTAATATTTAATCTAAATTATTAATCAGTGATATAGAGAAATCCCCAAATAAATAATTCTGCCAGAAATTCCATTTAAAAATCTGAATTAAAACCTTAAGATTTTCAAACAAATGTTTTTATTTAAAATGAGACACAAACACATTGCCACTGTGAGGTGAGTCCCCCAATCGCCAACATTTGGTGGAGGTCCTGGCTGAGGGCCCAGGCTCCATGCTGTGCAGGGCACGTGGGCTGAGATGGCCAAATAACAACGCACTGCCCATGCCCCTCAACTCACGCTACCTTGTGGACAAGGCCAGAAAGTAGGCTATTTCAATACAACAGGGGAAGGGGATGTGGAGAACACGCGGCCTACACAACAGGCCCGCTGCATGGGCTCTCCTGAGAATCGTGTGAGCTCATTGGCAAAGCCAGAGCTGAGCTGAGAAGCCAGGAAGCGCGGCTGACAAGGCAGGGCGCAGGAACTGGCAGATTTTCAAAGCCACAGCACCATCCTTTCAGGTACCATTTTACAAAGAGCCTCAATGAGGAAAAGCAATGAAAGCCACTGATCTGGGGTGAGGCAGACATGAGACCTACTCCTACAATTTTCTCGTACTTACCCACAGCAACCCCTAAGAAACGCCGAAGGAAGTCTGTGGTTTTGTAGAAGACAGTTTAAGAATTACTGATAGAGTGGAAAAGCCGTGATTTTGGGGTCAATCGGAAGGAATTAGGTTTCACTCTTTTCTCTCTTATTACTATGTATTTCCCTATTTTGTAAAATAAAGACAATATTATCTAACCCTCAAGACTATTCTGAAGGTTGAGTTAGAAAACATAGTCAAACCGCTTCGTACAGTGGCTTGCATACACTACACAGTCACATATGGTGGCTACTGATCGCTACTAACAGTGACGCTACTGTATTAATAATAGCAATCATGTATTGCAAGCAAAACATACAAATACAAACTCAAAATGGGTAAAACACAAAACTAGAAAACTTCCAGAAGGTAACAAAATCTAGATGATCTTGAATTTCACAACTGAGTTTTAGATACAATACAAAAGTATACAAAGTATACAAAAGACCTATTTCCACGAATCCCAGTGAAACTCTTCCTCCTTGATTTGAATACTTGTCTCATCATTCTTGCCATTTTCTGAAGTAGCGCTGGAAGACTCTTTCATGTCTTTCCAAAATGTGATAAAAAATATGGTGAATCCTGCTGTCAAGCGCCATCCAACAGAAGGCAGGCTGGTAAAAACGCCACACTGTGTCCTCCTTCACCTCATTCACTTTATCTGGGACTGTATGACTTCTGCCTCTTCCCCAACGTCACAATGACCATGGAAGCTAAATGTTTTGAATTGATTCAGGACACTGAGGCAGCTATGACGGCACAACTAAAGACACTACTTTTCAATCATACCATGTATACAGATGGCCAATAAGTACTACACAAGAAGATGCTCAACATACATTGTTAGAGAATTTCAAATTAAAACAAGAGGTATCACTATACAACTACCAGAATGGCTAAACTACAAAACAGTAACACCAAATGTTAATGAGAATGTGGAGCAACAGAAACTCTAACTAACTGCTAGAGGGAATACAAAATGGTACAGCAACTTTGGATGACAGTTTGAAAGTTTCATCATACAAAACTAAATATACTTGTGCCATATAACACAGCAATCACAATCACTGGTATTTACCCAAATAAACTGAAAATGTATGTATGTATACACAAGACCTTCACATTAATATTTACAGTAGCTTTGTTCATAACTGCTAAAAACTGGAAGTAATCAAAAATTCATACTGCTAACTGAAAGGAGCTAATTTGAAAAGGCTACGTACCATATGATTCCAACTACACGACATTTGGGAAAAGGCAAAACTGTGGAGGCATAAACAGATTGGTGGAGATCAGATTAGATTTGGATCATGGGGAGGGATGTACAGAGTTTCAGGCAGTGAAAGTAGCTTGTACGGCACTATAATGACGGATACATGACATTATGCATTTGGCAAAACCCGCAGAATGTACCAAAGAGTGAATCAGAGTGCAAACTCTAGGCTTCAGTCAATAATAATGCAGCTGTGAAGATGTGGCTCTGTGGTAGAGTGTTCATCTAGCATATGCAAAGCCTTGGGTTCAATCCCTAGCACTTGGGCAGGGGTGGGGAAAGTAGAAATACTGGTTCACCAGTTCACTGTAACAAGTGTACCAAACCAACACAAGATAGTAGTATTAGGGAGACTGGGCCAGGAGAGGAAGGTGTATATGGGAACTGTGTGTATATTCTGCTCCATTTTTCTGTAAACCTAAACCACTTTATAAAAAACGAAGCAACATCACAGTAATAGCAGGAATAAATCCTGGAGGTGAGATTGGAAGCACAAGGGGAATGATTGATTACGTTTCTGCTATTTTTATAAATCACCCTAGTGACACTAAGATGGATGTGGTGTAGGTAGGTCACAGTAGACCTGTTAGGAAATGACTGAAATAATCTAAAAAAGAATAAAGGCCAAAACTTTCCTGCCAGTGGTGGGAGGAACAGATAATGTTTCTGGAAACTGAGTGGAAGGTAGCACCAGGGGCTAAGACAGACAAGAAATCTGAATAAGCAAACTTGCAGATAGTTTTGGCTTTGTTTCACTCGAGGTTCTAAGGCAGTCAAAGGACTGATGTCTTCAGGGCAGCCTGACATGAATCTGAAGTTCAGGGGCAGGTCAGGGCTGGGAGTCAACATACAGCTAAGGCATGGATCATCGTGGGGATAAAGTGTACAAAGGGCGGATGCATTTTGGGGCCTGAACTCAGGGCCTATTATCCATTAGAAGCATCTTATGTGTTCTTCTCTACCCCTTCACCTTCCCAAACCTCAAAAAACAGGTGCATCAGTAAAAGCCTGGATGCCTTTGCCATAAACTCCCCAAGGATAAACCAGATGAGAGAATAAAACCACAGAAGGACAGGGGACAACTCAGTGCTGGACCCTTAACCTGTTGCTCATTAAAAGCATGAGGTGTTCCCTTAGCAACTACAATGTCTCGTCCTTATCACAAGGCCAGGAAGTTTGTGCAGGATGGGAGTGCTGATGGAAAGAATGTCACAGGTCCTGGGATGACCCAGTTGCCCATTCCTGAAAAACAAGGTGTTTGCATGCACACACACACACACACACACACACACACACACACAAAACCCAGCTTTTAAAGCCATGCATAGGCCCAGTGAAAATCCCCAGACTCTAGCTCACCCCGCATGCCCTGCACATGAATAAAATGCGTGCCCCTTTCTTTGCTATAGGGCAGCATGGTTTTCCTCTCTGTCAGCACCGTCCCCCTCCGCTTGAAGTACTCTCCCCAAATCAACCTCCACCTCTGTGCTTCTTCTTAGTCCTTGGCCTGATCTCATTCCTACTGCCACAGCGGGAGGATGCCGTGTTTGGTATCACAGCTCTATGCAAACATCCAAGGAGGAGATTAGCAAGAAAAGCAGTGCAGTTCAAACACACTGGGCTTAAGGACTATGAAAACATCAACTTTTAGAGCAAGCAGAACGAAGGGCAGCCCTAAAAGCAAAGGACAGGAATGATAAGAGGCAGAAGGAGGGTTAGAGAGGGTGGTATGGAAGCCAGATGTAAGGGTCAGGTTGAAAGCTTGCTCAAACCCCGTCTACCATAGCGCTGAGCCCACATTTAATGCTCACACCTAACACTTCAAGAGCTGTGTATAAAACGTGTTATTGAGGGATGTGGAATGGACGCTAAAAGAATCTCTCTAGAGTTAAGGATCACTGAGGGGAATGACGGAGACAGGTGAGGAGCACCAGATTTTTAGTTCTTCTTAAAAAACAGAATAAAACACAACAAAACAAAATGGCTCAAGGACAAAAAAGACTAGGCTTAGTGGTACACTGTATATGGAAGCTTTAGGATTTAATTGCCCAGAAATGTAATATGATCAAGAATTCAGTCACCAAAGCCAACACAGGCTGCTAGAAATAGAATATCCTGGCTCAAATTGGGGGTTGGGCATGTGAGATCAGTCACATCAGGGATACAGAACTTGCCTCTGGGGAGCACTTCTGAAGAATGTGCTCACCCTCGCGTTTTTCCCTTTGAGTCTCTCACACTCAGTCTTTGTTTTCCTACAGGTTTTACCCTAACTCAGGCCCTTCTCGTGAAGATTAAATCAAATTGGTCTTTCCGTTTCAAAGTACCTTGCACGCTGTGTCAGGATTTTCTTTTTTTTTTTTTTTGGTTTTTCTCCGGTACCGGGAACTGAACTCACAGCCTTGCGCTTGCCAGGCAGGCACTTTTGCCACTGAGCTAAATCCCCAGCCCCAGGATTTTCTTTTTAACAATTTTTTTATGTCTTAGTAGATGCTGGCAGTACACAATGATTACACTCCTTGTGGGGAGTCGGTGCGTGCACACAACACTTCTTAATTCTTTCTACCCCGTCCCCTCCCCCTTTCTCAGAAACCTTTGTTTCCCATTACCTAACCTCTTTGCTGGACATTTAAGTTCTTTTATGAGCTGATCCAAAACTAACGTCCTCTGCTTTCCGCAAAGAACTGTCAACTGCTGTCTGTCTAGTGTGCTGTCTCCGCACAAGCCATGTTCTTCATGTCATTCCTGTCTGCGCCTTGGTGCCCTGCACCCCCGCTCCCATGTCCTTTCCAGCCTGCTTATCTGAGCACTGCTTACAGGGCGAGCAAGCATCATGTCTTCTACTGGGACTTCCCTAGCTGCAAGGACACATCTGTCCTCCAGAATGCCACGGTGGTCCCTACTGTCAGTCATTTCAGTTACCACATATAGAACACTTTGCACTACTAAGCCACCCCTTAACAGTACTTTTTATAAGTACCAATGATAGTGACAGCCAGTAACATTTTTTGTATTGTGAGAGTCCCCAAGCCCTAATCTTTATGTTGAAAGGTACCAAAACATCCTCTATTCCTTTAAGCACAACTAACTGGTTTTCTCACCCTGCCTCCTGTCCATTCTGCATACACGCAATAGATAGGCTTGTGAGTCCAAACTCCCACCTCCACCTCACTACTGTACCAATATCCCATGAGTCACATCACTCACCCCACTGGCAGTTCTGATGGGCTTTGCCTTTAACTTGGGGACTAAGACCTTCCGGTACTGAGGAGGGACCGCAGCAATGATATCCACCAGGCGGGGCTGTGCTGAAAGGCCGTGTTTGGCAGCTGTCTTGGTTTTCACCCTGAAAAGAAAGCATCCAGCATCACAGTATTTCAGGTACAAGCTACCACTGGGATGATGTGTAAATGATACTCTCTCCTACCACTCTCCTACCTGTTCACCAGGTGACACCAATAGCGTTAAGATCTGTGAATATCGAAGAAAAGGAAGGACAAAGTTCATAACTGACTTCTTCTTCTCATCCTTAAGTACCAGCAAGAAAACCAGAGAACTACAGAGGAGGGACCGGGGGTGATGACAGTGTGGGTCTGGTTCAAAACAGCACTCAGCTTTTCAGCCTCACGATGACTGACACGTGGGACCAGACCATTCTGTGTGGGAGGCTGCCCAGTGCACTGTGGGATGTTCGGTGGCACCCTTGGTCTCCCTGGCCTCTCCCCACTAGCAACCTTCTTCCTATTGTAACAACCAAAACTATCTCTTGACACTGTCAAAAGTCTCCTGAGGGGGAAAACACCCTAGTTAGAAACTACTTTCTTAAAATATAATATGCATTAAAAAAGGAACAGAAAATGTTATGGTTTGTGTCTGGATGTCCCCCCAAAGCCTCATGCAGTCATGGGGCAGGCTTCTAGTTTATGATTGCTTTATGGCTGTGAATGCTACCCTTTCCCTGAGGCAGATAGTTTGCATACAATGTAAGGAAGGGAAAGAGGTTGCTTGCCACTGCTCCTCCCTTTTGCTCTTGTTGCTTTTGCTGTTTTCAGCGGCCATGAACAGTTGCCCTCTGCCATGTGCCACCCTGCCTTAGAGCCAGCTGATTATAGACTGAAACCTCCACAGACGGTGAGCTAAATAAAACTTCCCTCCTTCATTTTGGGCGTCGGGTATTTTGTCTTAGCAACGAAAGTAACCAAGACAGAAAGCATATAAATACACTCTAATAATTATGACACAAACATTTCTGTACACCCCTCCCTGATTATAACCCTATTCTTTTTTTTTTTTTGGTGCTGGGAATTGAACTCAGGACCTTGCACTTGCCACACAGGCACTTGTGCTGCTGAGCTATATCCCCAGCCTATAACCCTATTGTTAACCCCTAGAAGTAACCTTAAGGGTAACACTTCCTTTGATTTTCCCTACAATTTATGGGCTTTTCTTTTCTTTGTGCCTGCTAGCTAAATCCTAGCAGTCATCCTGGCTTCTAATTTTAATCCATCCAGAAATGTGGTGTGCTCGTATGTTCAACAAATACTAATGGTTACCCAGAATGCACAAGAGACTGCCTAAGCTCTTGGCATGTTAGAAGGTGGGAGGCACAGTCCTGTCATGTCCCAGATTGTCACAAAACACAACCATCTACCCACACACAAACAGCAAAGGCTTCCAGAGTTCAGAGGGTTCAGCGTATGCAGGGAAGTCGGGTCAACTGGGCCCAGGAGAAAGGGTGGGGCCACAGACAGGCAGGACAGACACAGAGGTGACACTGCAGGTGGAGACGCTGGCTTACATGAAAATGCAAACACAGGGGCACATCCTTGACAGGAAACTGGATCCTTTCAGCAGAAAGATACAGAAGTCTAAAAAGTGATGAAAGTACATTAAAGCGAGCCCAAAAGGACTTACAAACAGGTATGTGAGCAGGGGCTAGTTTTAAAGCATTGGCTTTAGATACTCTCAATTAAGAAAAGGGCAAAAATAGGTCAGAAGTAGAAGTGTTAACTAGAAATTAAAGATTTTTCTAATTAAGGATGACAACAAAAATAGAAAAAAGACTGCTAAAGACATGATAGAAAGATTGGTAAAATATGACTTCATAGTCACAAAGGGTATTTATTCCCTTAGCAAATGTTTACTAAACACAATGTTTCAGGGAAGGTGTCAGATACTGTAGCACCTCAATTAATGGAGAATAGGATCTAAGCAAGGTCTTGCATGTAGTGGTTAGATGACCTGGGGTTGTAGGAAGAACCCTTTCATTAGGACTGATCTATACAGAGTGAATGTATAGTTAAAAAAAAATAGATGCAAACATAAAGAAATCACTCTCATTTGAAGGTACAGCAAAGACCAAGCTGAACATGATGATGGAGAGGAAGTGGATGAACATGTCCAAGAGCTTCTCAAGCAGGAGACACTGGATTAGATCAAAGATCTCAAAGGAGAGTTGGCATGAAAAAGAGTTACTTCTTCCATTCAGGAAAGAGAAATAGGACATGAAGTAAGATATAGCACAGAAGAACAGAACATGGACTCCGGAGATAGATGACCTAATTCTACATCCTACCTCTGGCAATTACTATTCACCCCTGAACAAATTATTTAACTTCTCTATGTCTCAAAATACCCTTCTGTCAAACAAAGTGGCCCTGTACCAACTTCATACAGTTTTTGAGAGGATTAATTAGCTATTATGTACAATGCTTAATAATAATGCCTAGAATATAATAAGGGCTCAGTAAATATTAAGAGGGTAGTAGTATTATTAGGCTATTATCAGACAATTTTGTCACAGGGAAAGAAGTGACAGGGCAGGGAGAAAGCTGTTAATTCTCAATTAAAAACTAAAACACAAGACAAAGGCTGGTACTAAATTACTTCCTAAAAGACATCGACTATCTAAGAACAAGACTGCCCTCCTTTTATAGATTACTTACTTATTGAGGTCGATGTCTTTCCCTTGTTCATGAGCTTCGATCAGTTGTTTAATAACATCTCCTATAGTCAACATCATTAGCTCAGCAGGGCTGAGATCTCCTGGGAAGATAATGTTCAACAATCAGAAATCCATAAGGCTGAGATTTCCTGAAAAGATATTATTCAACAACCTGAAAAGTCACATTCTTCAGGAAAGATTTAAAGATCTTATGTAGTAGCAGTTTTCACTACAAAATCATTCCAAATATGTCAGATGAGTAGCTCAGGTTCAGAAGACATTAACTCTATTACTTACAGTCTGACCACAACTTTAAAACAAGCGTGGAGTCCTGGTCACTTTCACATCTCTGAAACACAGGACCTGATACCTACAACTTAGAGGGGAGGTTTATTCTGGCTCAAGTTTTTAGTCTACAGTCACAAGGCTCCAAGGTAGAAAAAGGATGGCAGAGAGGCACAGTAGAAGAAAAGGTGCTTCACCCATGGCATCCAGGCATCCAGGAAGGAGAGAGAGAAGGGAAGAACCAAGAGGGAGATAGAGCCTTCCAGGTCACACTCGTGGGGACCCACCTCTTCTGACCAGGCCACTCCTTCTCACAGCACAGTCAGCTATGAACAAATCAATGCATTAATCCACGATGACTATAACGTCCCAGGATCCCATCTCCTTCCAAAAAGCACACCTCAGACCACATGAGACTTTTGGGGAACATTCTAGATCTAAACCATAACACCTGGTTTTACCTATATGTGGGAAACAGTCCCTTCAGAACATGAGAATACTACAAATGTAAGAAACAATACTGCATGAGAGGAAAAGAACCTGCCTGCACATTGAAATACCAAAGTAACATCTCATCTTTATCTCCAGATTAGTAATTACTAGTTTATGTATGTTGTAGAGTTCACAGAGAACATTTAGAATCATCAACTCAACAGATCCTCAGAACAGAGTGAAGCAGACAGATAGAAATATTTGCCTATTCCATAAAGATGTTACCAAGGGGTGAAGTTGAAACTCCAACCCAATATCTAGAGTAGTTAAGCAAAACACAGCTACAAGTTCTATACCGTCTAAGGATCTTGATGTGGATCTGAAACTGTGTGCCCACCATCATGACATTCTTCTGGCAACTAGGGCTCCCCTTCTCATCCCAACAAAGGCAACGGCAGAAGCCGACATGTTACTATATGACTATGACCTCATCCTCTCCAGCATTGTCAACTGGTTCCAGGATAGGCACTTCTCCACATCAGGCCAATGAGAGCCCTTTCCTCAAGGCAAAAAACATCAGGCTTTTCCCAGCTGGCAAAAGCTGTGGGGTATCAGCATGGAGGCTGTCAGGAATCTTGTTCCCTGCCTTCAGAGAAAGTTGGTGTGCAAAATGAAGCCATCACACAGAAATATGAATGAGAAAGCATTGGCATTTATAGAGCCCATTCACTTACTTTAATTCCATTTGAAACCTTGTAATAACCCTGTAAGATAGGTACTGTCATTCCATTTTACAGATGGAAAGAGTGGGGGTAAAGGCAAGTTAAGACACTCTAAATGGTACAGTGAAGACTCAAATCCATGTCTTTTCCCTATAACTTCCATGCTTTTTTCACTGTAGCATGCTGCCTCTAATTTAATGAGGGAAGGCTAACACACACAATAATTTGGGAGAAAAAGTCCCAAAAGTCGATGATCGAAAGCTCAATGCATTCCAAACCACGTAACTCAGCAGCTAAGAGTTCTACAAAGGTGCCTCACGGGCCATGTGACACAGATAAGAGGTTGCAGCGGTGGTGACACAGGAAAGGGGGGAGGGGTCTGTCTCTCCCATTACAACCATAGCAGCTCTTTCATCTAGTTACGTGCCAAGATTCTACATAAGAATTTATTTGGAGGGTAAAAGGAGGTTCAGCTGGTAAAACCAGATTAAGGCTTGAAAACTGCTTGTGTTAAATGGAGGAATAAACTGATAAGAAAAAGCTTCATGGAGGAAATGGTACAGGAGTCCTAAAAGAAAGGGGCAAGCTGTAGACACAGAAGGCAATTCTGAAAGAATAATGTCAGATATAAAAACTGCTTATCGTTGCGCAAAGGGGCACTGTCTAACCGGCATACAGGCTGCCTGACAGGATCTCTACAGACTGTACAGAGTTCACCTGCCGCAAGGCAAAGGCATTTAAATGGAATGCAAAGGGGCTGGGGATTTAGCTCAGCGGCAAAAGCGCCTGCCTGGCAAGCGTAAGGTCGTGAGTTCGGTTCCCGGTACCGGAGAAAAACCAAAAAAAAAAAAAAAACACTGTTAAATGGAATGCAAAAAACAGTGGAGAAGTATATATTCTCAGTTTTAGACATAAAAATGTGACGGCCACATCTAAGTAAAGTGAGGTTATCAGTACAAGGAAAGAGAAACGGATACATACAATCTGGATGCTACGCAAAATGCTCTTGAAACGCAATTTTTTTTTTTTTTTTTTTTGGATACTGGGTCTCACTATGCAGTTCAGGTTGGCCTCGAGCTCACTTTGTAGCCCAGGCTGGCCTTGAACTTACATCGATCCTCCTGCCTCAGCCTCCCCAGTGCTGGATTCCAGGCGTGTGCCACCACGCCTGGCTAAGGCAATGTTAAAAAGCCACAAAACATAAAGAAAAATTAAACGCTGACAGGCTCCCCTTCCAACCGCTATGGACTGAGTAATGAAGGAAAAATGAATGACATCTGAGTGTCCATTTCCTTGTCTGTGAAACTTGTATACAAAACAAATTTTCCAAGGCCAATGTAAGAATCAACTCAAATAATACATACGAAAGCCAAAGTACCAGTCAAATATTAGTTATCGACGCAAGTCGATTAGGAGGACAGTAGCCAGAATGAAGAAGAGTCAGCTATTTCAAGAGGTAATTTTCAAGAACTAACAGGACTTGGTGACACAAGGCTGTCTGGCCTGACTGGAAGGAGAAAGTGAGAGAGAATGACAATTTAGGGCATGCAGAGTATGACGGACAAAACAACAGATGACACTTGGAGCTGCCGCTTGAAAGAGAAATAGCCGTTAACGCTGAGGCACAGTGATGAGGACACGTTTCCTTACACTTTTGGGGTCACGGATATAGTCTGACCAAACAGTTGCACACTCCTAAATATTATTTTGGGGTGGGAAAAGTTACTTAACTCTGAATGTCTCCCTCTTCCTGTATAAAATGGAGATGACACTGACTTCAGAATGACGGCTAAAGGCTCTATAAATAGTATCAATTATTACGGTAATCATCAGCATTGTTAGACCAACCGCTCAAGCCAACGTACTGAGAAAAGACAACTTGCGAGAGAACATTTAAGATGTAACTAACTGCATCCGGTTGAAAAATTAGAATGAATTGCTCCATGCTGGGGAGCAATAAATGCATGCATGATTGCCCCACAGACTCCATGGATAGTTCAAGACTTTTCATATTTTAACTCAAGGCTTTAGGTAAAAATCACAAACCCGTCAAATGTATGGTGAAGTCAAGAGTCTGACAAAGCGTTAAATCCACTAGCTGCGTTAACTCCCTGGAGTGCACACCTTGGAATAAAGCTGACCCTGCTGTTCATGCAAGAGGAAAATAGTAAGGGTAGACAGGTTTAAATGCACAATACATGAAACAAGAGGGCGAGGGACCGTCACAGGCACTGATCAGCCCCAGGTGTCGGGACGAAGGGGTCAGGCAGCAGAGTGCCGCAGGAGAAGTTGGGTTCACTATCTGACCGTTGCAGCGACCACCCCCTGCTTTTACCCTCGACCTCCCTTTCTGCACCTTTCCGCTTCTGCCTCATTTCAGCGCCGTACGAATACACGCCACCCCGATACCGTAGCTCACAGCCAGGCGAAAGTTCACAGCCACAAAGCAACTGCGACCTGTCGTAAAAGGGCGCCCACTGTACCGTAAAACCGGTTGCGCCTCGCCACGTCCCCCTCCGCTCCTCCCACCCCCGGCTGCTCCTGGACGAAGGAGGCTGGGCAGGAAGCTTGAGTGACGGTGTTAGGGCGGGCACTGGGTGAATGCCCCACCCCCGAGGCCAGGTGCGTCACTTCCGGGGAGATTGGGCGGGAACTGGAGCGTGGAGGTCGCGGTGTGAGTTTATATTCAGAGCCTAGAGGAGACTAGGTGGAGTTAGGTAACTATCTGAGGAGCAAGTTGTGGACTAAGTCTCTGAATGATAGACAAGGGATGATCATAAAATACGGTGAATATTTATTTTTTTAAAAAAGATTTACTACCGTGAAAGACATTGTAACAGCTCCCTCAAAATAGTCCGCGTCCCTTAGAACGTGTGTATCCCGTCTTCTCGCGGTTTTATGAAGCAGTTCTAGAAGTCTTCTTTCATGAGTGTCTTTACCAGGTGTGATGAAAAAATATACTGAATGCTGCTGCCCGGCACCATCCAACAGAAGGGCAGGCTGGTAAAGACATTAGTGTGTTCTCATCCGACCTATTCACTGGATCTGGCATCACGTGACTTGCCCAAAGACAAAATGACCACAAAAGTTAAACATTTTCAGTGGATTCAGAATATTGAGGTAGCCATGACAGCACAAGTCAAGACTCATGAAAAAAGACTTCCAGAAACTGCTTCAGAAAGTAGCAAGAACAGTGGATAAGTTTGATGTAAAGGAGAATATGTTGAGGGAGATTGATGGCAATACTGTCTTACTGTAGTAAATTTTTAAAAACCTTAAACTCATTGTATTTTTATCACACCATATGAGCTATGGATGCCTCTCTGGAAAAAAGTATGAAATTTTGTAGACTTTGGAGATAAGGCTAGGAATAACTTTTTGAAGGTCACTCATGACCTCCTATGTCCATGGATCAGAGCTTGAGATCCCTTCTTATTAATAAAGATGGGAATGGGCACTGTCTCCAATTCTTTACTTCCCTTTAGAATTAAGACAATTCCAAGTCGACCCCACTACCACACTGAAACTGCTCTGGTGAAGCTTTTGACATCCTATCTTGTTAAATTCAGTGAAATATATTAGTCCTTACCATCATTCTACTCATGAACATAAACTATCTTCCTTGAAAATATTTTATAATAGGTCCCTCTACTCTTGATTATTCTACTTTTCTCAGTCACTTGTGGATTCAAGAATACTTGTACTACAAGAGGTCACTCCGTCTTGTCTCTCCCAAGATGATCCACAGAGTACCATGACTTTACATACCATCTCTCCACCCCCAAGTTTATAATCCAATCCCAACTTCTCCCCTATTTGACACCATGTTAGATTTGGATGTCTAATACACATTTCAAATTTATTATGTCTAAAACAGCTATCTTTTTCCTCCAAATCTGCTCTTTTCAGCATTTTTATATAAAGGTACCATCATAAATCTCAGCATACAGTGCCTGCCTGGCAAGCATGAGGTCGTGAGTTTGATTCCCAGTACTGGAAAAAAAAAAAAATCTCAGCATAGAGAGAGAGATTGGTGGATAGTAAAATTGTAATTTTAAGAGTAGACATTTTTGAGAATATGAGGAATATGACATTTGAACTAATACTCCATATGCAAATTACTGGGGAGAGTATTTCAGGCAGAGGAAACAGTGCAAAGGTCCTAGAATGAGAGGACACCTGGTGTATTCATGTAAGAAGGCCAGTGTCAATGGAGCAGTGAGTGAGATAAAATACAATAGAGGTCAGAGAAATGATAGGGTGGCAGTAAGGGTGGCAGTAAGGGACGATGCAACTTGTATGAGACCTTGTAGGTCATTGAAAAGCCTTGTGTCTTTACTATGATTGGGAGCCATTGGAGTTTTAATGTTTTTTGTTTTCTCTTTCTGTCCTTTATATTGTCTACCATCTAGTGGGATTAGAGCAGTGCCAATCCAGTCAGTGGACTGATCCAGCAATCACCTACCCTTAATACCAGCACTCTTAATCCCAGCATTGCACCACAAATTAATCACACACTCTAGATTCAGCCTCCAAGAAAGTCCCATTTAAAACTGCATGAGGCTTTGCGGGGACATCTAGTTACAAACCATGACATTCTACCTCTGGCCCCCCGCAAAAGTCATGTATCTTATTTTACACAAAAGGCATGTAGTCTATCTCTAAGAGTTGCCAAAGTCCTAACAGCATTGCTGAAAAGTCCAAAGTTTCCTCTGAGATTTAAGGCAAACTCTTAGCCGTGAGCCCTGCACAAATAAAAACAGAGTTAAACATTTCCTATATTCAATGGCACAAGATAGACATTTCCATTCCAAAAGTTACACATGGGGATACAAAGGAAGGGGACCAAAACAAGTCCAAAATCTAGCAGGGCAAACATTAAGTCCTGTAGTTCCACTGTAGCATCTGAGGAAATCTGTGGCCACATGTGAGCTCCAAAGGGCTTGGGTGGCTGCACCCCTGTGGCACTTCTGGTAGTTGCAGCCCCCGTGGCTTCTCTCTGTGGCTGGTTCTGCTCCCTCCTTGTGGTTTTCCTCAGACAATCCATGTTCTTGGCTTCTCCAAACTTCTGGGGTCCCTACTGCACCTTTGGCTTCGCATTCACAGCTTCATACACTGCCCTGTCAGGGCCACACTGCCTGGCATCATTGGAGTTTTTAATAGAGAAATGATATGATCTGACTTAACAGTGTGTCTGTTTACTGGCTGGAGAATAGACTCTTGAAGGAGGGAAGTGGTAGAAACAGGGAGATCATTTAGGCAGCCATTAGCATACTCTTGCTAGTAAGTCCCAAACTTTGATGCAATTAGAATCATCTGGAGAACAGTGAAAATTCTCATTAAATCAGAATATCAAGGGGTAGGAAGCAGTCAGTGGTTTTTAGTTTTGTGAATCCTTGGGCAAAGCTTGGGAACTACTGAGTGAGGTAAGAGATTACTGTGACTCCAATCAAAGTAAAAAAAAAAATAGTGGAAATGGTGAGAAGTATTCAGATTCTGAATATATTCTAATGACTTCAATATCAAGTGTGAGAAAAAAGATTTTGAACCAGTGGATTGGAATAAGGTAGTTGTCAGCTGAAATAGAGAATACTAGGTAGAGTAGGGTTTTGAATGGGCTTTAGGGAGTCAGTTTGGGATCTATTGTTTTGAGGTGAGACGTGAAGGAGACATGAGACATGAGTGAGACATGAAGGAGACTGGAGCTGAAGATACCAATCAAGAGCTGTATGTGTGGGTGAAACTCAAAGCCATGAAATAGGGTAAATGTGGAAAGAGATGAGACCAAATCCTAAACCTTGGGATATTCTACTATTAACAGATTAGGGAAGAAGAGGAGTGACCAGCAATGGAGACTAATGAGGTACTGCTGAGGGGGAAAGAAGACGACTAGTATGGTGACCTGGAGACAAGTAAAGAAAGGATGAGAAGGAGGAGGGAGTGATCATCTGGGTTAACACTGATGAGGGGTGGATTGACCAGGATCACTGGAGTCTGTGAAAGAACAGTTGTGTGGAATGATAAGAGTTGAAAGCTTGACTGGAATAGGCTTATGATAGAGGAAAGGATTGAGACAACATGACCAGACAACTCTCAAGAATTTTTGTCATAGAGGAGTGATGAGAAATGGGGTAGTCGCTGACAAACCGAGGTCAAGGGGAGTGTGTGCCCTCTAAAATGGAATAATAGCAAGTTTGCCTGCCAATAGCAATAACCCAGAGAAGAGTGAAAGTTTGATGAATTAAGAGAACATGATCTACCTACTTCTGTTGGAGAGAGCGGTGGAATGTGTTATAAAAAGAAAGGCTGAATTTTGGTGGGCACATGGACAGGTCAGCCATTAACAGGCTGGAAGGCAGAGCAGTGGTAGGGAGTAGAGTGTGATGTGGTGCTTTGTGGAAATTCGCTTTCAGTTACTTCAGTGTTTTCAGTGAGTTCAGTGAAAATTCATGTTGTCTCAATCCTTTCCTCTACCATAAGCCTATTCCAGTCAAGGTTTCAACTCTTATCATTCCACACAACTGTTCTTTCACAGACTCCAGTGATCCTGGTCAATCCACCCCTCATCAGCCTTAACCCAGATGACAGAATGACGTTCAAGTGTCCACCAGCAGGTGCCAAGGACTATTCTAAAGAATTCTAAAGAAGCCTGGGAGGTTTCAAACTGCTCAAAACTAATTCTGACTACTGAGTAATTTAGTAGCACTTGCAATTAGGAATACAGTCAACTGTTGAAACAAAGAAATGGTGAAAAGGAAAAATAGATAAATAAATACATATATATACACACACAAGATGGTTAAGATAGTTATACTACTAATTGCTATTAGCTCATTGAAAGGAAAAGTATATACTTATATTATCTGATCAATTTTTCATGCATATAGCTTGTAATATAAGCAACTACTTTGAAGATAATACGCAATGTACTAACCATTGTTGCTCTCCTACACTCTTGTTTTGAAATTTTATACCATTGTTTTTATTGTTTATTTTTCTTTTCTTTAAAATAAAAAAAAAAACAAGAAGGAAACTGCCAGTAGAGGAAGAACTAAGCACACATGATACGAATATAGGCATAAGGGGTGATTATGTCCAAGAGGTAAGTAGAAGATCCAATATTGAAGATGGTTTTCATGTTGCCTTTCTTTATTTTAAGCTTTATATTGGCATTTCTATCATTATAGACAGCTCAATTAGATATAAATTAGTAGGCAGTCAGATAGCTAGGTCTGGAGGTGCATGCCTATAATCCCAGGGTTCAGGAGGTTGAGGCAGGGATTGCTAAGAGTTTGAGGCTGGCCTAGGCTACATAGTGAGTTCAAGCCCAACCTGAATTATGGAGTGAGACCCTGTCTCAAAAAAAAAAAAAAAATAGGCAGACAGGGTCAGGCCCTTGAGAGAGGCAGCACAAAGGATGAGAGGACACCAAAGCTGTGACTGAAGGCACACCCATTGAAGGCCAGGCCTCAAGATAAAGATACACTAACCAGGCCTCCATGCCTCCCTGAGGTATCAATAATAACTTGTGATTATACTGTAACAGGTGATTGATATCCACCTGGTCCAGTAACATCCAGATTGTCATCAGTCACCCAGGTGTGTGACCGGAGCATCTGGACCCATCCCTGCCACACAATGCCTTTGTTATTTTCATGTACCCTTTCTTCATGACTCATGTCCCTATTGGATCAATACTAGCTAAGTAGCTATGCTTGTAGTCCTATAGATTGATTATACTTTAAGCCGTATTGTGCCCACATAGTGACTTTGCTGTGTAAATTAGCCCTAACAAAAAGCCTTGGTGGCAGCTGAATTTTAGGACCCCTCCTGTCTCTCAGCAGCTATCTCTCAATAATTCTTTCCTATTCTTAACCTCCACTGTTCCTTAAAATTCATTCTTCAACTTCAACTGCAATTTCTTCAAACTCAACACATCAAACGTCTAGCAGGTTGGAGATTATATTTTTCCCATATCACTATGGCTTTCTTTTGGAGGAGTTACAACATCTTTCCAAAAGTTCAAAGCAGTATTTACAACTGCACTCTAAAGACTTATTTTCAATTCTTTCCATATTTGATTCTTTACTTTCTGAATCCCTGCTTTTAAAATAAACATACACCAAGAGTTCCTGAGAATTGCCCTAGGAGTGACTGAGTTGGCCTTCAAAGGTGATAGAGCCTGGGCAAGGACACTGCCCACCCACCATCTTGGAGAAACATGGCCTCTATTTTACTTAGGCCATGAGTAGTCCCCAGAGGACATGTCAGGAGGTCACAAAAGACTCCTCAGCAAACCACAAGCCCACTGTTTTCCATCCCATCCCCTCAAAAGTCTGCCCCAAAACAGTATTTTTAAAAAGCCTCTTAGCCTAGAAGAGACACTTTCTCTATTCTGTTCGCACGAAGAGATCCTTCTCAGATTTGGCAATAAACCTCTTTAGACTGTTGAATTCGTGTTCCTTCTTTCCTGCTCAAAAGGAAACACAGAGTGAAGCTGAAGGTTCAAAGAATAGCCTATTTCTTATACTCAGTGTCTTTGTTTGGGTTGTCAGATGGTACAATGGACTAGGATTTATTTTCTTCTCTTCTTTCCTGGCAAGCACCTTTAAAAGTATTTATTTTTGAAAATATGGATCTAAAATTTAAGTTCTAGGAAGAGTTATTTAAAGCTCAATTTCACTCATTTCTATAACCAAACAATCTGGTATTGTTTTCATTGAATTTCAAGGCTTTATGTCAAGAATTGGTTTATATTTTCCATCTCTCCAGTCCTATCTCATATTTGGGTGCCTTGAAACCAGCACTTTATCTCTCTTGCAATGGGGGCATCTTTTGGATCTGTTCACCTGAGCCAGATCCATCTGAATAGTGTTTACCCTCAAAGAAAAGATGCTTTAAGGTAGATGATATGAAAGGAAAAAGGGGTAAAGTCTGCCTGCTTGTAGGAAGAAGGGGTGGAGAAGAAGGATGCATGGCTTATGATGTAATTTTACTGTAAGTGGGAGGAGAAAATAGCATATCTCAATATCTGTGGGAGGAGAATGTGGTGGCAAGTTAGTTTCACTTCCTTAAATATGGCCTTGTGGCTGTAATCCCTTATACAGCTGATTCCGCATATCTCTACCAAGGCACAAAAGCTGCTGTCATCTCTTGTGGACTCTTGGAATTGAAGCAGAAAAGTGTTTGGGTCATTTTTTCTGTTCAGAAACATCTGGTAAGTTGTTTCTCTTATGTCATTTATACTGTAACATGTAGTTATTTTTAACAGACTTTTAAAAAGAACATTGTAGTTCTACAGAAAAATTGAGAACGCAGTTGATAGTTCAGGATGTTCTCATAACCTACACCCACTTTATTATGTATGGCACTTTTGCTATGATTAATAAACCAATATTGATACATTATTACTAACTAAAGTCGATGCTTTATTCAAGTTTCTTAATTTATATCTAATTCAGTTTTCTATTCTAGGATCCCATTCAGGATATCATATTGCATTTCCTTGTCATGTCTCCCTAGGCTTTTCTTGGCTGTAACATTTTCTCAGACTTTCCTTGTTTTCGATGACCTTGACAGGTTTAAGGAGTACTGATCAAGCACGTTATAGGGCACTCCTCTACTGGCATGTCTGATGTTTTGCTCATGACTAGACTGGAGTTATGTGTTGGGAAGGAAGATGGCATTGTGTGGAGGGTATATACCATCACCACGACTCATGACTGTTGGTGTTGACCTTGATATCTCGCAAAATGAAGGGAGTCTCTATGCAAAGTGCATACCTAAGGAGCCTTAAGGATGGGAGCAATGTCTCCCTCTCTGAAAGTTGAGTATCTGTATAAATTACTTGGAGTTCTTCTGTATGGGAGATTTGTGTCTTCTTCCTAGATTAGTTTTCTTAAATTATTTTTTGAGGAAGAGTGAATTTTACCTTTCTGTGTGTACAAGTAAACTTTAAGGCCACAGAAAGGCCAGTAGACTAGCAATGGGAGAATTGAGTTTTAATTTGAATGTTACTTGACAGTGTGATTTTAGGGAAGTCATTAGTCATTTCTCCCAAAAGAAAACAGCTAGTGCAGGCATTTTGGGGGACTTATGAATTCCTAATGAGAAAGGAAATGTTATCTTATGCCTCGTTAGCTTTGACAGGCTCAGGAGAGCAGCACTAGAAGAGTAAAATCTATTTTGTTAGAATCTGATAATTTGTTATGAAAAATATCTGCTCATTTGCTCCTCTATTCACCTAGGGGAGAAGGGCAGAGAAAAACACATCATTCCAGAAAAACACTTCTTCTACCATTACTGCCTCTGGCAGCCACAGATAATGTCCAACTCACTGACTCATGTGTCTGTGCTGAAACCTACCTCTTTCGTGGGGTTTCAAGGCCCTTGCTTCACCTTTTGCTTCTGAGCTAAGGTGTTTAAATGGCTCCTTTGGAACACCCTTAGTTTGGAAGAGCAGTGGAATGTCTAATAAAGTGGTTAGAAAATGTACTTAAAAACATTTAGATTACAAAACCTAAAACTTAGGAAATCCATCATAAATTTTCTAAATAGTCCATCATTTTATTAGGAATCTCCTCCTCCTTTAATTCTTTACATCTTTGAAGGATGTAGAACTTCCTAGAATTTCCTAAGTGTGAAACTTGACCAAAGACTTCCAAGGACAAAGGCAAAGCATCTTCAAGTTACTTGAAATCCTGAGTAACTTCACTGTACCTTTCACACACTGGAGTGGGAGGCTGTGTGTGCAGATACCTTGCCTGTTTTCTTCCTGCTGAATCTCCAGGAACCGTAACTAGCACACAATAGACACTTAACATGCATTGATTAATCTATCCAGTAAGGTATATTTGAAAGATAAATGTCATTCATTCAACGAATATTTATTCAGTGCCTACTGTGTACTAAGCACTTCCTACATGTGTTGAAAGTAGGGACTGAACCAATATTAATGATAAAAATGCCCCCTAAATTTTTTTGCTAATTTGAGCATTTATGATTTTTTTCTGTTAGTGCTAGTTTTGAGACAGAGGACAGAGGGTGGAAATGAAAATAATATAATCATATTAGGAAGGTTTAATGATTCATGTCAAGACAGGTCAGATGAGGTCCTGACAAGAGAAGAACACAGGGAAAAGAGCAGGATGCTTGTAGTGTATAATAAACACATTCACTTAGGCACCAAACATGGAACAAGTACAGCGCCGGTATGCTGCTCTGATATTCTCCCCCACCCTCTGGTTCAATTTCCTTCTGAGTGCATCTTAGAGTTTGCAGGTAGTAGCTTCTGATTAATGTTTTCAAGTTGCTATGTTCCCTCCTACTCTGTGGCTTTCATTCCCAAGAAATGACTTTGTCATACATTTGACAGAACCTTCATTTGTGGGTACTAATCCCTTCATTCTCACATGCCTAAGCTCCAGAGGGTTTGCTTAAGCAGTACCTATTGCAGGCTACGTAGAGTAATGAAAAGAACATTGATCTTGCAGTAGGCAAAAGTGAGCTTGTGTCCTCATTGCCATTACCTTACTATGTGGCCTTGAACAAGTTCCTTTCCCTCTCTTGACTTCAGTGTCTGTATCTGTAAAAGAAGGAGTCCTAACCCTGTATGCAGCTGTTCTAGTACAGTATAGGAATAACTGCATTATTTTTCTGTGAGAAAAATGATAAGCAAACATAAACAGAAGAAAAGGAGAGTGAGAAAAGCAAGAATAACTGTTAAAAGTCACAACTACTTAACAGGAAGCCAGGTCTGTGCAGAACCTTCCTATATCTAGCTAAATGTGCAGAGTCTCACCTAAAAGATGCTATTCTTGGGCTCAGGGCACATGAATGTAAATAAGTACTAAAAGCAAAACTTATGTGCTAACCACATTGTTTAAATATGGGTGAAATAAGCCACATACGTACGGAACCCTGCCTGTCCGAGCAGTAAGTTTGGGCTGTTTTCAATTGTTTCACTATAGAAGCCAAATTTTCACAATATATGCCATTACTGCCTCTTTTGGGGGAAGTAGATTCCAACATCATTTGAGAAAGGACTACGCTCCTAGAGGTCATTTTATCCTTAATACAATGAATTTGACATTATAGAATCCTCAGTTGTGTTACTTTTAACCACACAGAATCCCAGTCACTGGTATATTGTTGATTTCAGTGACAAGAGACATTTCACAATGAGAATTTTCATCTGTTAGCACCACTGAAATTGGAGAACACTCACACCTTAAGGATTAGTTTCATATTTCATTTACAGGTGGGAAACTCAAGGTCCAGAGTGATAACCTGACTTGCCTATAGCTCTTTTGATTAGTGCAAATCCAGAAGTGAAGTTTCCATACTTGATTTCCACCCTTATGTCATTCCTACTATATTCAGTTCAACCCAATGACTCTTTCCAAACCACCAATCCACTACCCCCATTTTTGTAGGCTGTCCTCTGCAAGTGCTTTATATTTCTTTCTTTCTACTTCCTTATTCTTTTTATGGATGATCCCTTTCCCTTTTCTAGTGTCTTGGTTGCCAATGAAATGATTCCTTCTTATCAGTCTTTGAACATGGCAGAAGGAATTTGAAGTCCAAATTTCTATAGTCCCATCTCAGGTAATATACATTTTCTCTGAATTTTAATTAGAGGTCACAAATTACTCATGTGCTGCTGTGGATGCTACTACAGTGGAAGGCTCAGAGGTTGGTGTTTCCTTTGCATTCAGCTAAACCTCATCCAATCCTGAATAGTTTCATGCCAACAGCCCTTGCTGGCTATTGTATACTGTTGATGTAGTGAATAAAGTCAAATAGTTCAAACTGAAGCTCATGTGTCCCTGAAGGAAGCCAAAACACTGCCCACTGCCAGAATTCAATGAACAACCTGCTTCTCTCAACTCTACTTTTCTAAGGCACTTTGATCCCCATCCCTCTCAGATCAAAGGACCTTAATCTCAATGTCTATATGGTGGGAATGCCTGTCAGCTTGGTCAGTTAATTCTTTTGGACTTCATCTAGCTACACTGTTTCTTCTTAGAATCTGACTTCTAGAACACATGTTGTCCTGGACATTTACTGAGTTTTGTCCACCAGTGAGACCATATGTTTTATTTTGTCTCTAGGATACATTGTGATGAGGTAATACCTAATAGTTCATTGAGCTACTGTCTTCAGAGAACATCAGCTCTCTTTGTTAATTCCTCACTGGGTATGTAAAGTTATTGACAGGCATTACTGTATTCTTGCCAGGTGAAATCTTATTTACTTTTCTTTCTCTATGGTTACCTATGTTTTGAAATGGTTCAGCATTTCAAACTGAGCTTTTCCAACTGAGCTTTTCCAACCAGAATCTGCTGTCTCCAGTGAGATTCAGTGACCTCACAGACCACTTCCACTATCAGTTTCTCTGGTGAACATTTTAAGTGAGAACAACTTGAAGAAGCCTTAAGAGTCATCTGATTCAATACCATTATCAGATGATCATACAGTATGTTCAGGTTCCTCTAATGGTAGAAAATACATTATTTTCTAAGGGAGCTCATTCTATTTTGGACAATTTGGATTACAGCAGTTCCCCTGCAACCCCGCTTGGTAGATGCATACCAAGACTCCCAGAGTATGGCTTCTTTTTGGCATATCTGAATTGCCAATATCACTACCCCTGCACTTTTTCGGCCCATTATAAGAGTTACTTGGATACAGATACTGTGATTCTGCAATAGTTGATCTGATAACTGAGAGGGCTGTTCAGCAGCTAATGATGGTACTGTACACACACCTTGATCTGCTGAACGGGGGTGTGATTCATGTCCTGGCCAGGACAGAGCTGGCTGGTATGAGATTTCATCATGCTACTGAGAATGGTATACAATTTAAAGCTTAGGAGTTGCTTATTTCTGTAGTTTTACATTTAATATTTTGGGGCCACAGTAGACAGTGGATAACTGAAACTATGGAGAGCAAAATCACAGACAAGAGAGGACTGCTGTGCTCAGAAATGTTAAGTCAAAATGCTTTCCTATATCTTCTACCTAGCAGACCTAGGTCTACCCTCTCAGAACCATAGGAAATATGCATCTCCTCTCATATGCTTCTGTCAGTCATGTATTTGAATCCACTATGAAGTCCCTTTCTCATTAGCTACTTTGCCTGTGTTTTCCCTGTCTCTAGTCAAGCATCACTAGTCTTTAGTGCAGGCCTCCCTATGAATACATCTCCATTTGCACACTTATGCATCTGTTCCCAGTGTTGGTTTTACTGCTTAAGGCAAGACACTCTCTCCCTCTCTCTCTCTCTCTCTCT